CAGCAACTTGGATGACGTGGTAAATACCCAAAAGCTCCCAAAAGTTCCTCGGCCCTACTGGTTGAATTACCCCTGTTGTAAACAACCCTGCTGTAGCTAACGCTAACAACGAGCTAACCAAGCCCCCACAATGCGGCTTTAAAAATGGTCCCGACCCGGAAGTAAGAGAAATTGCAGTTCCACCCTCATCCGCTGGGGGCTGGTGTCAGAAGCGAGCAAATCCTCATTGACTCCCATGTTAAAAATACCAATTTCACAGCAGAAATAAACATGTTTACAGCCTGGTACCAGAACATGTTTTTTGCCTAAATTATCTAGTTTATACTCATGACAACTCTGAGGGGGGTGAATTTTTTTCTCACTCTTCTGTTTAAGTGTATTGAAAGCCTAAAATTCTGTATAATTAATGAGCATCCGACACACGTGACCGCCGCCTCAGACCCACGTGACCACAGAGCTAGCTCCGTGGAAAGGCCTCAGTACAGCCTCGGTCTCTCCTGGAAACTGTTCCGGGATTTTGAGTCTCTGTGCTTGTGAATTCTGTTTTGGATATTATTGGTGCAATTGTTGGACAAAATGACTTGCTGTGGTATTAATTGCATTAATAGAGCGTCCAAGGAGTCTCCACTTAATTTTTTTCGGTAAGTTAAAATCTATATTTGTATTTTATGTCACTGCCGCCTTTAAACTAGCTGAGTTTACCGAAGTAGCTAGCTAACTATCAGTTTAACACGCAATGCCATTATCCATCCTTGCGTAGGGCCCCGGCAGGCACGCAAGTACGTAGAGAGTCGAACTCTCTTTTTTAAACATCCGTCAGTCGAGATGGACAACGCAAGCTTGTGATTGGTCAGGACGCCGCTGTTGTTTACAGTGCCGCCATTGCACCCTCAAAAACATAAAGAGAGTCGAGGATAACAAGCGGCAGACACGGAGAAGCTTGAAGAATACCTCGCAAAAAAACTCTAAAAATATGAACGTTTAATTCCCCGTGACTGGAGGAGTGAAAAGATGCGCAGCAAGTGTTTTATTAGTGGACGAAAATGACAGGAAACGTGGGTTTAGAGGTAGGGAGCGCATGAAGAGGTGGAGGAGGATGAGAGACAAATATGTCCATGTTAAAAAGTCTCTTATATACAAAGAATACTATAAACACACTATCTTGGACCGATACATGACAGCATACCACAGAACAGCGCTACGCCCTCTGTTGTCCTGTCGGGCAATTGCTTTGCAACACTCCCCAGGAGACGGAGAAGTACGAGAGCAAAACGCTTCCATCAATCCGTGCGTGTCTGTCCCTTGCGGAGCTGACGGAGAAGCATGAACCAGGTTTTAGTTGTTCGTCCTTTTATAAAAACTTATTTTGAGCCTGAGAGGGTTAACTTTGTCGGCCACAACACTCTGGGTGTTTCTCATTCTCAAGGCACCTGGCCTTACGATGTGATGTCTTGTGAGGCCAGGCGCCTTGCTTACGAGGACACTGTCCTTCGTTGGTAAAAAAAAAAAATATTAAATGGAACTGACTTGTATCATGTGGCCGTTGCTTCCACAGCGGTCACGTAACGTCACGTAACAATGGAGATAACGTTTTATTTTATACGTATTAGTTTCAATATAAATATTTTTTTTCCCGGAACTGCGCTGCTCTGGGCGGCTGCATGTTGGAGTAGCTCTGTTGACTATATGTAAGTTTTGCCTTTTATTGGGCATTTTTTCTTCTAGTTTCTCAAGCAAAATGGTATTTTCTTTGGACACTTTACTTTTCTGTTTCTGGTGCTGTGAAGCTTGGGGGATTTTTACTGCTATTTTTTTAGCTTTTTTCACTTTTTGAGCATTTGTTATGGTGCGTAACCATGGCAACAAGCTGGTTTACAATCGAGAGCAGCTGATTAACATCGGAAAGGCTGAAACAATACCTCAACTAAAGCCACAAATCCCACATGAGCTAAAACGCAAGAAGCGTGGGTGCAGAGCGGGAGCAAAACGGAGACCGAGAAAGAGGAAATTCAAACCATCTCTTCCATCGATCATAATGGGCAATGTGAGATCAATGGCCAGCAAGATGGAGGAACTCCAAGCCCTTTCAAGGACTCAGCCAGAGTTTCGGCAGTTTCGGAACCGCTCGTGGAGATAATGCAAAGAAGGATTCTCCAGAGAATCAAGAAAATTATGGACAACCCTGAGCATTCTCTTCACAAGACTGTCCGACAACAGAAGAGTGTCTTCAGTCAGAGGCTTCTTCAGTTTCGCTGCAACACCGACCGCTACTGGAGATCCTTCCTGCCAACAGCCATTGTAATATACAACAACTCTTTGATGACTTGATTATTATTATTTTTCTGAGCTACTACAGCAAGCAATTTCCCTCTGGGATTAATAAAGTATGTTTGAATTGAATTGAATTGAATAACGAACCTTTTACTTTTTAAATTTTGTATATGTTTATTAGATTAAAGATATAAGCGAGTTACTACCCGCTAGCCACCGAAGCTGCAACTACTAAGCAACTAACCAACAATAGATAACTTCTTTGGATCTAAAAAAAAAAACGTTTTAAATTAGCTGACTTACTTTTAAACTTGAAAATTGCCCCCGAAGTAGCTGCCGCCTGCCGGCTTCTGATCCGACGTCCTTTTGAAAATACTGCGGTGTATTCTGGGTAATTTTTGACCAAGGCTAGACTGCAAGACACCTCCCGTGTATCCTTGCTCAGCTAGTTAAACGGCTAACAAACGGAGAACACGTGCATCAGTAAAACATGAACATTGGAACACGTCTTGGCAGCTTCCAATGACATATATCCTAGACAACCGGGGCGAGGCCAAGACATCAAGGCAAGGTTCCTTGACATTAAGAAACACCCTGTGTTTATAGTTACATCGACCAGCCTCTAGAGGGCACCGCTGTGCTAAAAAGCTCACTCGGCAAAGCAAGGCTGGGACTGTGTAAAATGGCGGACTTCACCAGTCAGGCAGCTGATTCTGAGCCCAGAAGATGTTCTAACAGTAAATACTGCTGTCAAATAGACTAAGGCGACGTTCACACTGCAGGCAAAATCTTCTGTTTTCCCCATATCTGATTTTTTTGACAGTCTAAACGGTCATGTCGCATTAAATCCGTCTCCTTCGTCACTGAGTCAGCAGAGGTGAGGTGTGGATGTTCCTGAGGAGAAGCTCTGAGGGTTCAGGAGTCTGTCCGGATATCCTGTTTTAGGTTTCGGAAGTAAACATACAGGAGAGCATACGGGAGTTGCTGCTGCAGCGAAGCGGGGGGGTCCGTGAATAAAGAAATACCTGTTCCGACTATCCCTGCTTCCTCATCAAATGATCCTACTACAGCGTGTTACGGCCGTTTCGCTCTTGTTTACAGTGTAGTAACACGCCTATTAAGCACGGTTTAAAAAGGTGATAAAACATAAAAACACTGACATGTAGTATAATTATAAGCAAAAAATATACAGTGTTTGTGGAGATTTACTTATGAAAAAGACTGTCATGATTTTGTGAATGAAGGTAAACAATGGGAGAAATATCTTGTTTACAGTATATTAACCATGTTCTACAAGCTAACTGTCAGGTACAGTATAACAATAGAACAACTTCCAGAGGTAGCATCTCTTCAGGTGAACAGCTTGTGATGCTCTAGTCGGTCTGCGCATTTCCCCAAAGTAGCACATCGACGGATAGGCTGAACACCTGTTCTGTTCATTTTCGGTGAGTGATAATTCAGAAAGACGGCGGGAACAAGGAGTAAAACAGTTTACAGTTTTTTAAAAAGTTTCCAGCCCAAAACGGAATAACTAACAGGTGTAATCCTGATCCTGTGGATAAACTATCAGTGAAAACTTTCCCATCACAACTCCCCCACTCCTGGTTTCAGCTCCACTGAGTGTGACTTCCTGTCTTCTGTGCATGCAAGTCGCTTTGGGGCCGTGAAGCGTTCACACTGATGCCACATTTCAGTCACAGTGTGAACGTAGCCTGATTAGTAGAAACGAGTCCTTATCCGGTACAACTTGCCACTGGACATGATGCGGGCTGGTCACGTGTCAGCAGTGAACCAGACGGCTGGAAAATGTTGTCTGTTGTTGCAGCTACTACCTCTAAACACCAGATGTCGCCAGAGTGTCCATGTTCCTACCTTTAATGGAACAGACTTATGTGAGCGCAGCTGCACAGCGCCGCTTTGTTTACGTCCCGCCCATCACATTTCCCTATAGATGTATAATTAGCCTTTTACTATATATTGGTTAAATTAAATGTTTGAGTTACTACCCGCTAGCCTCCAAACCTGCAACTACTAAGCAACTAACCAACCATAGACAAGTGCTTTGGATCTAAGAAAGAACATTTAGACATCAGCTCGATAGCTACAGTTAGTCTGACTACATTTAAACAGGACGTTTGCCTCCAAAGTAGCTGCTGCTGGATCCTGATCCACCACATTTTTGAAAATATTGCGTTGTATTCTGGGAATCTTTGACTGAGAGAAGGCAACAAGACACCTCCCGTGTATTTTGGTCAGCTAGCTAAATGGCTAACAAACAGAGAACAGACGCCTCGGTAGCACATGAACATTGCAACACGCCTTGGCGGTTCCTGATGACATATCTCCTAGGCAACCGAGGCGGGACCGAGAAGGCCAGGTTCCTTAATTGGCACTGAGAAACACCCCCTGATTCTGTAGCTTCAGGTGACTTGTTTCAAATCTCTAAAAGCAGAGATGATACAGACTCCATAATTCAACTCAGCACCACTGATTCTAACGGGCCTGCAGCCCGCTACATCAGAACTCTTCACCAGCCACCGTTGACTGGATCAGGGGTTCTGGTCCGATCAGGGGTTCGTTTTCAAAAGTCTCTGACGTTCATGCAGGTTTGTTCTGATTCTGATCGGTGATCCAAGAGAGAACCAGAACTCATTCGTGCTCATTTTTTCCTTCCAGTAATCTCAGAAGGAACAATCCGGATGAAAACCCCTGATCTGCCTTCAGGAGGCACCAGAGGGAGCCCTTCAGCCACTGGCTGAAAGGAGGGAGGTGTTTTCCCAGAAGAGGAGGAGAGAAGGAGAAAGGAGAGAAGAAAACAGAAAATGGATAGAAAGCCTGCCACATGGTCACATCGGGTCAGAACCGTTTGCTCCTTGTGTTCCGAAGGTGAGAACTGTTTGTTTTCCTCCTTCTGCTCCTCCATCCTGAGCTTCTCTTCTATTCCAGACAGATATGGTTGTCCAGCCAACCAGCAGACAGATGTACAAGCTCGGCAGGGATCTGGACCCAGCAGAACCAGCTCTGAACCGCCACAGTAAGTTCTAAAGAGCTGATCTGTTTACCTACAACAGAGAAATGTGTTATTTGTGTCAGACAGCTGAGACATGATGTCATTTACCCACAATGCATCAGGCAGGGTGCTACTAACCCAACATTTACAGAGCATCCATTAAACGTGGCTCCGATTTGTATAACCAGCCCTGGCACATCCCTTGAGTTATGAACCTGAACGTTTCCTCTAGAACCAGAACCAAAACTGGGTCTGAAGTCATTCAAGACCTTCAGAGGGTCTGGAGAACTGGATCTGGCGTTCTGGACCGGACTGGTGCATGAACATGGATTTGAGGAGAAACTACTCCAGGGTTGTGTGTGATGTTGGGACAGGATGTGGAGTGTGACATGAGGAAGAGGAGGGCTGAAGGTGAGGAGGCAGGGGTGTTTGTGGTGTAGCATGATGTCACAGGAATGAGTTAAGCCTCGCCCTGAGCAGCCTGGTTCTTTGGAAACGCCGCCCACCTCCTAAAAACACTTTGGAACGACAATCCTGGATCTTCGTCCCTTAGCATCCAATAGCTCCGCCCACCCTGGTGGAGGAAAACAAGGAAAGCCAAAAAAGAGAGGAAAGAGGAGACAGCAGGATGGAGAGAGGGACAAGAACCGGTGGTGTGTGTGTGGGAAAGCCTGGCTCACGAACAGCTGGAAGGATGATGACTAACTCCACGTGAGCTTAGATGGTTCTGCTGCTGGAGGCAGACCTCAGTGAGGTCAGGAGCATTTATGAACGTTCCATCAGCACACCGCAGCTGGGTCACATGGAAAAGTCCAAAAGTCCTATGTGGTGGACTCAAATGATCCCGAGTCCTGTCCCAGAACCAGAGTCCTGTCCCAGAACCAGGGTCCTGTCCTAGAACCAGGGTCTTGTACCAGAACCAGGGTCCTGTTCCAGAACCAGGGTCCTGCTCCAGAACCAGGGTCCTGCTCCAGAACCAGAGTCCTGTTCCAGAACCAGGGTCCTGTTCCAGAACCAGAGTCCTGTTCCAGAACCAGGGTCCTGTCCCAGAACCAGGGTCCTGCTCCAGAACCAGAGTCCTGTCCCAGAACCAGGGTCCTGTCCCAGAACCAGAGTCCTGTCCTAGAACCATGGTCCTGTCCCAGAACCAGGGTCCTGTCCCAGAACCAGAGTCCTGTCCTAGAACCAGGGTCCTGTCCCAGAACCAGAGTCCTGTCCCAGAACCAGGCTCCTGTCCTAGAACCAGGGTCTTGTACCAGAACCAAGGTCCTGTCCTAGAACCAGGGTCTTGTACCAGAACCAGAGTCCTGTTCCAGAACCAGGGTCCTGTACCAGAGGCTGTTTGGTACTGATTTTATAAGAATGGCTTCTGGACTATACTCTAGAGGTCCAAATTAAGGGTTCTAAGTTTCTTTCCAGCTGACAATTTTCTGTAGATGGCTGGAGGTGAAAACCCAGTCAGACCAGAACCGGATATCTGACTCCATCTTGGTCCTAATTAAGAACGACACAAAACCTGTAGGCTTCCACAAAGGTACTTCCTGAAACTAGAAACACCAAACTGCATCAAGAGTGAGCTCAAACCTTAGAGACTTGGATCAGAACCGCTACAGAAAATCTTCTCAGACTGGAAAAGTATGGCTTCTGCTCCATGAATCCAGTTTTTCACCCATCGTGAGCTGGAAAATAAAAGAGGCAGTGTTCTGGTCTGGTACCGCTGCCAGGGGGTGCCGCCCAAATGGAATAACTGCCTCAGTTGAGTGTGTGTGTGTGTGTGTGTGTGTGTGTGTGTGTGTGTGTGTGTGTGTGTGTGTGTGTGTGTGTGTGTGTGTGTGTGTGTGTGTGTGTTCTGCTGCTCTCCAGCTGGCCTCCACATGCTACTAAAGGTCATTCAGAGAGACCTGTCATGTCTGGGACCGGCTGCATGGCTGCTCATGGCCTTCCAGGTTGCAGACTCTCAATGGGAACCTTGTACTCTGTTTGGGTCTCGAATCTCACACTCACTATTAGGCCTAGTCCACACGTAGCCGGGTTTTTTTTTTTAAAAAACGAATATCCGCCCCTCCAAAAACTTGCATCCACTCCACCTCGTTTAAAAAAAAACTCTGTCCACACGTACCCGGATAAATACGTTGTTAAGGACATGCCAGACCTGTAGGCGGCAGTACTTCCCCCGTTCTTAACCTCGTCCTTCGTCTGTGGTCTTCCGCAAGCAGCAGTAATTCCGCTTGCAAAAACAAACAAGCAAAAAGCGCTTGGACAATTGATAAAGCGAGCGCAGCTTTGAGGACATCCATGCTGTCGGCTAGTGTAAACACAGGTCGCACACGTGATGTCAGCATTTTTTTGTTGCGGAAAGTGACGTTGCGGACCTTAAAACTCGGGTTTTGTCTGTCCACACGCAGACACCCAAAACGGAGAAAACGCACATCTTCACTTTGGCCGGAGTTTGTAAAAAGATCCGTTTTCGTGTGAAAAAACTCTGTTTTCGTGTGGATGACAGGCCAAAACGTAGAAAAATATCTACGTTTTGGCAGATCCCCGGCTACGTGTGGACAGGGCCTTAGACACTCCTGTGGAGAAACTTCACGTACACCAGCGTGTACACACACACACACACCTGGACTCAGGTGTTTTGACACGGTGCCGTGGGCTGTGGTTGGCACTAAATACTTAATAAATGAAGCACTTCCGTGTGATTGCCAGTAAGCGTTTTTACTGTTATGTAACGTTATGTGATTTCTCAATCCCGTCTTTCTGCAGATGTTGTTTTGTCATTTAACACCCCCTCACCCCCACCCCACTTCTCTTCTGTTTCCATCTCTGTTTCTTGGGGTTGTAAAAACCAGCTTTGATATCAGGTGGGGTGTTGTAGCTGAAGCTGTAGAGCTCTGCTGGGAGAGGAAAACTCTGAGGCATGTTTCTGGCTCGCAGACATCAGTTCTGGTTACTTTACAGACAAGACACAAGGAAGGAAAGAAGTCCGAACGACTTATAAAGCTGGTCGAGGAAAGCCTGCTTCACAAGGACTATGGCACGGAGGTGGTCTGGTTTCCACATGGCTTCCAGATGGACTGTCATTTACACTGCTGTGGTTTGTGTTTGGAATGTCTCCGGATATCTGCTCCCACAAGAGCACCGTGATTACAAATCTGACACAATACATTTAAAACGTACCTGTACAAATAACATGAAATACGTAGACCAATATTCCAGTCTTTAATAACAAAAAAACCCATCCATCCATTATCGTCCGCTTATCTGGGGGCGGGGCGGGTCACAGCATCCTAAGCAGAGAGACCCAGTCTTCCCTCTCCCCAGCCGCTTGGAACAACTCTTCTGAGGGAATCCCAAGGCGCTGGCTGGCCAGATGAGGAACGTAGTTGCTCCACCATGTTCAGATGCCCGAGGCCACCTCATCGGACTCCTCTCAGTGTGGAGGAGCAGCGGGTCAACTCTTAGCCCCTCCAGGATGACTGAGCTTCTCACCCTATCTGTTTATTTTCTACTGAATTTTGTCACATTCCCTGTCTAGTTCTTGTAAATCTTTTGGGAGGGCGTGCTTTTGCTTTTCCTGCTCCGTTGCTGTGGAATGTTCGGCCACAGAATGTCAGACAAGTATGCTCGGAGGACATACTGAAAACGAACCTTTTCACTAAAGCTTTTAACGAATGCTCACTTTTTAGGCATTTTAACTTAACTTCTTATTTTAGCATCATCTCTTTGGTCTTTACTCCGTCTGGCTTTTGCTGTGCTGTTGTTTTAGATTGTGGTATGCTTTGTTTAACGGCGTTGTATAAATAAAGTTATTGTTATTAGTATTATTCATTTCTTTAACTTCATCATGATCCGCATGCAGGGTCAGGAAAAAATAAACTACACAGAAACTTTCTGGAGCTCTGCATTGCAGCCAGTGTGAATCCTCTGATTGGACTTGGTCACTTTTTATCCACACAGAAGCCGTGGTCCGTGTCAGACCTGTCCTTTATCTGGTGTGTTGAGGCTTTAGAGTGACTCGTAGAGATGGTGGAGTCAGATCAACTTGTAGAGGAGGCCAAGTTAGAGCGACTGGTAGAGAAGGTCGAGTTAAAGCGACTCGTAGATTAGGTTGAGTTAAGCCTGATTTATGCTTCTCCGTCTGCGTCAGTGTGGAGACACGCAACGCCATTATCCATCCTTGCGTAGGGCTCCGGCAGGCATGCAAGTACGTACGGAGTCGAGCCCACTTTTTTAAACATCCGTCGAACGAGACGGACAACGCAAGCTTGTGAATGGTCAGGACGCCGCTGTTGTTTACAGCGCTGCCATTGCAAAGAGAGCCGAGGATAACTAGCGGCAGACACAGAGAAGCTTGAAGAATACCTTGTGAAAAAACTCTAAAAATATGAACGTTTCATCCTCCCGTGACTGGAGGAATGAAAAGGTGTGCAGCAAGCGTTTTTATTTGTGGACCGAAATGACAGGAAACGTGGGTTTAGAGGTGGGGAGCGCATGAAGAGGTGGGAGAATGAGAGACAAATATGTCCGTGTTAAAAGTCTCTTATATACACAAAAAACACAATATAAACACACTATCTTCGACCGATACATGACAGGATACCACAGAACAGCGCTACGCCCTCTGTGGTCCTGCCGGGCAATTGCTTTGCAACACTCTCCAGGAGACGGAGAAGTATGAGAGCAAAACGCTTCCGTCAATCCATGCGTGTCTGTCCCTTGCGGAGCTGACGGAGAAGCATAAACCAGGCTTTAGTTTAGAGTGACTCGTAGCTGTTTTGCTGATTTTTTTCTCTTTACTCTCTCTACAGGTCTTCTTCTCCCAGCGGTCTCCACTCAGTGAAGATGTAGTCTCTTCAGTCTCAATGGAGATGTCTCCAAACACAGCCTCAACTGCCTTGTTGCCATGGTCACTGTGTGTGGTGTTCCTCCTGACTTCTGAATCTCAGATGATGACCTCTGCTTCTACAGATGGTTCTTCTCAGACAGCCAGCAGCATGCTGCTGTTTGACAGCGGTTCTCCAGTCTCCAGCTTGAGGAATTGTAGCTGCTCTGCTCCCATCGGGTACTGCGATGAGGCTCTGGCGAACTCTCTGTGCAGGTGCAACACTGTCCTGCGGTCATCTGTCCAGCGTCTACAGAAAGCAGGACTTCTAACAGTGTGGGTGAAGGAGCTGTGGGTGCTCGAGGAGCTGCTGAACAGCAGCATGGTTGCACATTTGAAACTGTCTTTTTGTGGAATGAAGCATCTGCAGAGCCAGCAGCTTGTTCTACTTGGTCTGCAGACCCTCAGAATTCACAGTGCAGCACCAGAATCTCCTCATCCTGACCAGGAGCTCCAGGTAGTCCCCTCAGCAGGGACTGCAGCAGATCTGGAGTCCTCATCCTTCCACGTGACCTTCATCGATGTCAGTGTGTTGAACGGTCTCACTGCTCTGAAGGCTTACAGTGTGGTCGGACTTCCTCCTCCAACCTTCTTCCAGAACTTTCCTCACCTAGACTCTCCCTTCACTCAGTTGTTTCCCACAGATCCAACTGATCCAGTGGACTCCAGAGAGAAGCCCTCAGAACCTCGGCAGAAATCTCTCATCACTTTTGTGTACTAGTTTCATCCAGAGAGCAGACCAGAGACGATCCAGCTTCCAGAGGTGGAGTACTTGATTGTTTTGTTGTGCTGACATTCATTTGCTTTGAAGAGGAAGACGTCAGCTATTGGACCCCAGAACCGACCCCTCATCTGTTCTGGATCTGGATCATGTTCTTCAGTAGAACCTTGTTCTGTTTGATTTGGACTGCTCTTCCTGCTCTATTATCTTCTCCAGCCTCATGGGTTAGTCTCTGTTTAGCTTTTCTAGTTTGGACCTGGGGCTGCGCAGTGGTGCAGTGGTTGGAGCTGTTGCCTTGCAGCTAGAAGGTCGTGGGTTCTCTTCCCCACCTGGGATCCTTCTGCATGGACCGCTGGAGATAGGCACCCCCCCGCAACCCTGCATGGACAAAGCGGGTTCAGAAAATGGATGGATGAATAGTTTGGACCTGGAGCTCCTTCAGCATCTTGTCCATCCAGTTTCTTCATTCCTGTCAGCTTCTAATAAATCTCATGCATGCTGTCCCGGTTCTGTCTGATCCCAGTCCTGTTAATGCCACTGCAGGATTCTGGACTTTCCTTTGACTTGATTAAATGGTTTTTCCTGTTTTCTGCAGCTTGTCTGGTGACTGTGCCGTGACCCTCAGCAGAACCACAGTTAAGAGTCCAAACAGACAATAGCTGTGAGTTAGAGCAACAGTCTCACACATCAGGAGTTATTCCTCAGAGATCAGCTGATGAGAATTCCTCTAAGGAACTAGCACTCACACTGTTGATCCACGTGGCCAGCCTGGTGCTGCGTAACCATGACAACACCATGTTGGTCTGAGTCAACAGAAAGTCCCACAAGGACTCTGGTGTCGCTGAAGTTTGGGACATTTTTTATTCATACAATACAAAACATGAAAACTGTCATCGTTTGGAAGTTTGTCAGAATAATTACAGCAGGTTAAAAATCTCCTGAAGGTTAAAGGTTAAACACAGAAGATCATTCCAACTTTTATACGACTGAAACATAGATTAGGAGCGTCTTTACTTCTCTTTAGTGTCGAGTCGTTTGGTCAGACGTTCTTCTTCAACGTGATGGATTTTACCATGAAGCATTGTGGGTAATCTGTGTTCAGATTTAAAGCCGCAGACGTCCATGTCAATGTTCCTACTGAGGAGCGGCACTTCAGTTGGAGACTGCTGTTCAGGCAGAGTCGGGATGTTTTCAGCACCAGGACGCCTGCTTTAGGAGAGAAGCTTCCAGATCCTCTTACATAAGCAGCTGTTGTTCTGAGGCTTGTGCGGCACCTTCTGAACACCCAGCTGATAAAAACAAGATGTTCTGCAGCAGATGACGTCCAGAACCTTGGGAGCGGGTCGAAGCCAGCAGGTTTATGAGGTCTTTGTGTTTTAGAGGGATGCAGCCTGGAAGCCTGCGGGGATGTGTTCAGAAAGTCGTTCCGCAGGAAGATAAAAGAAAACAGGTTGGGTGTGTTGGAGCGGGCCGGGTCGGCCCACGGGCTCAGTAGGACCTGTCTCACAGCGTTTGTTCAGCTGTTCTTATTGACTGCAAATGGCTGAAGGTCCAGAGTTAGAACCGGTCTCTGGATCAGAACCAGCTGTTCTGCCCTTTAGAGGAGACAACAGGAAGTAGAGTCCTCTTGGATCTGATCCAGGTCCAACTTTGGCAGAAGGTCCTAAATGTGTTTTCGTTCCTGAATTGGTTCTGAGACTTCCACCAGATGACAAGTGTGAAGGAAAACCGGGTCTGGATCTGATCTGTGAAGCCCTGGTTATGACCCACTGATGAAACCTGAGTGTTTGCGGACTCTCCTGACCAATCTGTAGACATCTGAAATTCTACTGTGGGATCCAACTCCATCCTGGAGGTTCTGCACCTCCACGGATCCGTCTGTTCACCCAGTACAGATGTTGTGGCACGTGTCAGTGCAACATCCTCAGCAGGTCTCCCACCAGACACTGAATTCTTCACGCTGATCATTTTCTTCAGTTTCCACAAACTCAGAATCAAAAAGTTCAGCTGCTGCCTGATAGACCCCGCCCACTCAGGGAGCCTAGGCTACGCCCATCTACTTCTGGACCAGGGTCCCCAGAAGAACGAACAAATGAATGCAAGTCTAAAAACGCTGTTTTCTAATCCCGCTTGTTTTGTGACATGGATTTCACACATGATGTCCGCGAATTATAAAGATAAATTTTGATACCAAGAACGCGATTATTTTCAAACAGGGGGAACAATATTTTAGGTTTTGTGTGAAAATAAGTCCAGGACTACAAATATGTTTCACGAAAGTGACGCCATCGAACCAGACACGGAGAAAACTGAGGGGAAAGGGCTGTAAGTTCAGCAAACTTCCCACAGGAGGAAACAAGCACCATAAATCTTGTCATGTGGTGAGTAGCAGCTACGCTAGGGGGAGGAGCTTATGTGGTGACATCCCATTTGTAGTCATGCTAATTATGAACTTTTACAAGCTGATAAATCTCAAAGTACATGACTGGCATGGTCGAAACACCCATCATTAGTTATCATTTAAAAATAAGTACAACATGTGTGATTCAGGGCGTAAGGCAGAGCCGATTAGAAAATAGCGTTTTTAGCCTCGTTTACTTGTTTTCATTTGTTCGTTCTTCCGTGGACCCGTGAGCCGACCGGAAGGGAGGAGACTTATGGGCCATTCCCATCTGTACCGGGTCGGCCCGGGCCGGGTAGTGTAGGTTGTTTACATATCTGGGTGGCCTGGTATTTTTCCGGGCCAACCAATGGGCCATTCCCATCAGTACCGGGTCGGCCCGGGCAGCCACAGTCGGCCCCAGCCTGGCCCGGTTGATTCCACACATCCTTGTCTTAAGCCCATGTGGGCTGATTCTACCCACCAATCAGAGGCTTGCTCTAATGGAAGGTGTGAATTTGCTGTCAGCAGTGGGCGTGTTGGCCCTGGTCGGCCTGAAGCAGTACCCCTCGGGAAGAGGGCCGAGAATGAGCCTTGGTTGGCCCGGGAAAATTCCAGGCCACCCAGATATGTAAAAAACCTACGCTACCCGGCCCGGGCTGACCCGGTACAGGTGGGAATGGGGCTCAAGGCTCATTCTCAGCCCTCTTCTCGAGGGGGTCTGCTTCAGGCCGACCAGGGCCAACACACCCACTGCTGACAGCAAATTAACACCTTCCATTAGAGCAAGCTTCTGATTGGTGGGTAGAATCAGCCCACATGGACTTAAGACAAGGATGTGTGGAATCAACTGGGCCAGGCTGGGGCCGACTGGGGCTACCTGGCCCGGGCCGACCCGGTACAGATGGGAATGGCCCATTAGGCTCCCTAAAGTATCCAGGTTATCAGTGGTTGCACCTGTTTGTGGTCATGATGTCTTATTGGGGAAGAGGAGTTGAGTGCCTGCCCTGTAATCGGAAGGTTGCAGGTTTGAGCCCCACTCAGTCTGTTGCTGTCATTGTGTCTTTGAGCAAGACACTTAACCTACCTTACCTGCCGGTGGTGGCCAGAGGCACGGCCAGCGCCCAGAGGTCCCACCAGTCAGCGCTCAACAGTGTGCCCCAGGGCAGATGTAGCTACACTGTGTTGTGTTGTAAAGCATCTTGAGGGGGTTAGGACTCTAGAAGGTGCTATATCAAGTACAGGCCATTTTTACCATTGTATGATGCAAAAAGGTGAACAAATTCAGCAGTTTCTGGTCGCAAACTGCTTCTGGAGCCTCGTATTTAGTGGTTCTATAGCACCCCCTAGAGGCCAATGTGTGAATTGGTGAGAGGGCAGGAGAACACCTAGCGCTACAGACAAAGCCAGCATTTGTCTACAACCCAAATTTAGATGTCTGACTCCAGCAGCAAACAGGAATCCAGGCTATTTATCACAAATTTAACTACCCAAATACTGAATGCAGCTCTAGCTCCAAGTTGGAGATGTGAAGATTTAAAATGTCAGTGTTAGTTTTAACCTTTAAATGGGTTGACCCAGGTCAGGTGTGTTCTGGCTGAAGGGCTTAATGCTGCTGCTCAGGCTGGCCAACTGTTGCCTGTGGCTCTGGAATGATCTACCTTTAAACATTAGAAAATCCTTTTCTCTTCATTGTGTGGGTAGCCACCTCTGCTGCTAGTCTGTGGTGTTTTAGGTTGTCTTGGGTGTTGTCTGGATAATGCTGACACTGTTGATGTTTGTTGTATTTCAGCACTTTGGTCGGTTTGTGCTGTTCTAAACTGTTTTATAAATAAAGTTATGCAGTTTGTTCTGATTTGAAGGTGGGTGTAATTCTCATCCTATAACTGCAGAGGGAGCTCTAAAGCAAAGAAACTTAAATCAATCAATCAATCAATCAATCAATCAATCAATCAATCAAAGCTTTATTTATAAAGCGCCTTCCGCAACCCTGTCAGGAAGCCCAAAGCGCTGAACATGGTACAGTTAAGTAAATATATTGAATAAATCAACAATAAAAGAAATTCAAATTACAAAATACAAATTACAAAGTACAAAATGGAAATTACAAGATAGATGAAGCAGTCCGGTTAAGGACAAATGTGTGAAACACATTTGGATTGAGTGGATGGATTGAGTGAACCAATGAAAACTGTGGAATGGATTCAACATAATAGAGGGCCAAAATCAAACATGTTCTGGAAACGCCAAGCGGAGGAGGTGTGTTTTTAGGTGACTCTTAAAGACTGGCAGAGAAGGGGACAGCCTAACTGAGGGTGGCAACTGGTTCCAGAGTAACGGTGCTAGGACTGAGAAAGCCCGGTCCCCACGGGTACGACACCTAGACCGAGGGACAGCGAGCAGGACTTGGTCAGAGGAGCGCAGAGCGCGTGATGGGGAATGTTTGTTCAGGAGAGTGGCCAGATGGGGGGACCACCACCCTGGAAGAAATGATAAACAAAGACGAGTATTTTGAATTGTGAGCGATAGCAAATCGGAAGCCAGTGCAGGGAGGCCAGAACTGGACTGATGTGGTCCCGTTTCCTGGTCCCAGTCAGGAACCTGGCTGCGCTGTTCTTCACAACCTGTAGGCGACGCAGTGATGACTGACACAACCCTGCATAGAGAGAGCTGCAGTAATCAAGCCGAGAAATTACAAAGGCATGCAGTACCCGCTCCAGGTGGGCTCTCGACAGTATATGCTTGATTTTTGCAAGGCGTCTCAGGTGAAAGAAACTGGACCGGATCACAGAATTGATGTGAGCATCAAATTTAAGTCCTACATCAAGTTTCACCCCCAAACTGGTAACAACTGGTTTTGAGTATGGAGAAAGAGGGCCAAGATCAGCATAACGATCCACATTCCTGCTGTTGGGGTGAAAAACAATGAGCTCTGTCTTTCCCTCATTCAGATGTAGATAGTTGGACATTAGCCAAGACTTCACCTCATTAACACAGGAGACAAAGGACTGAATAGAGTGACCTTTCTCCTGACACAATGGAGAGTAAATCTGGCAATCGTCAGCATACAGATGGAATGATAGGCCATGTTTACGAAAGATTGACCCCAGAGGTAGCAGATAAATGGCAAACAAAAGTGGACCAAGGATCGACCCCTGCGGGACCCCCCAGCGGAGCCCCTCCCAAGAAGAAAAAACATCACCCAGTTTAACACAGAATGTCCTGTTTTGGAGATACGATCTAAACCAATCCAGAGCTGACCCTTGATCCCAACCCATCGTTCCAAGTGATCGAGTAGAATCGCGTGGTCAACTGTGTCGAAGGCTGCTGTCAGGTCTAACAACAGAAGCAGCACAGATGTTCCCTGATCTAGTGATAGATAGATGTCATTTAGGACCCTCAGTAGAGCAGACTCTGTGCTATGGCCAGACCTGAACCCTGATTGGAAAACCTCAAACAGATCAGAGTCAGCTAAATGTGAGACCAGCTGCTGATAAACGACTTTCTCAAGCAGTTTAGATGTAAAGGGCAGGGTAGAGATAGGCCTGTAATTTTCTATCACAGAGACATCAGCACCAGGTTTCTTCAGGGTCGGCCGAAAGAGCAACTCACCACAAAATAAACGTTTTCTTGCTGCTAAACTCTATAAATGAGTGTCTAATTGCGCTGGAAGCACGTGCAGTGGCGCTTTAGCGCATCTTAGTTCAAATGTAAATGTTCAGCCTCAAACTGTCAGTGATGCACCGTCTTCAGGTCAAAACTCTACACTGCATTTGAATTTAAATCTGCCAGAGGTACACTATGACATTAGCTAGTAAAGTTAAAGTCCCATTAGTTGTCACACACACTGATGTGTGTGCAACATTTGTTCTCTGCATTTGACCCATCCCCTGGGGGAGCGGTGAGCTGCAGACACAGCCGCGCTTGGGAACCATTTGGTGGTTTAACCCCCCAATCCAACCCCTTAATGGTGAGAGTCAAGCAGGGAGGCATTGGGTCCCATTTTTTCAAAGTCTTTGGTATGACCCGACCAGGAATTAAACCCTCTCCCAGTCTCAGGGCGGACACTCTACCACTAGGCCACTGAGCCTAGTGATAGGCCACTGGTATATTATGATGTCACAATGTCATTGTGAGCCTGTGTGTGCATATTTGTTAATGGCTCTGCCAGGCAACAGCAAGTGGAAGTGGAGTAAAGCCTGGGGCAGACCAGATCAGCCGTGCCGCGGAAGCACCGTAGTTTTGGGAAGTTAAATGGTCACGAAGGACACGCCGCTGAGCACTTCTTGGAAAGTCATGCAATAGTCACAACATCACACGGGACTTGAACAGGGAGTGGAAAGTGACTAGATTGGTTATACACGATCAGACTTGCTGTTGTGTTTTTTGAGACTTTCATTCAGCGGCACTCAATAGGCGGCTTGCGGGCCAGGTCCAGCCCACGGGCCCCCTCTTTGAGGCCCCCGAACCACGCGCGTGTGGTACTTTAAAGGGTTTGTGCTGCAAAGCCATTCCGTGTAGTAATGTTTGTTGTGAAGTACTCCACAATGTTGTAAACAGCTGCTGCGCCGCTTGAGATAGAACGGCGCCTATCCTCAGCGATGCGGCACTCCCCGTGTAGCCACTCTGATAATGGCATCTGTTCAAAACAACGGTGCGGGCGCAACGTGAAGCGGCGCATCAGTCTCTGGCGTACGGGCTTAAGACTTTGGTAGGGGGTGACGTGCTCTTTAAATAGGACCTTGACGATTTCTGGGTGTCACGTGACGTTGCTGTGAAACAATGTCACATCTACGTCACCAAATGCAGATGGAATCCGGAAGTAGCCGGCGCAGCGGCGCTGCACAAAACCCTATTGACTTTGGTGACTCAGCATTAAAATGCAGATTTTCTGTGCGAGTCTACAGTTATTACGATCACTCCCATCGTAACAAAGACAAACATTTTTTTAAGTCCTGAATGTACATTCGAACTGAAAGAAGACAGCAGAAGTGGATCAGTAATCTACGGCTTAAAGCAGGAGCAGAAACGGACAACGCTGCAGTTTACAGAGATCACGTTCTACCAGGTGGGAGATTACTGAGTGTTTTATTAAACAGGTGCTTAGAAACAGCCATAAAAACCACAGGTTAACAGTTTCAGACTGTTTTCACGTGTCCACCCTGCTAATAGCTTCCAGAGTGCTAATGTTTTTAGCAGTTAGCTTAGTGCTGTAACGTGGTGTTTATACTTTATTAAAATCAAACAAACCAACGAGAAATTTGGATTTAAAAGGCATAAAAAGTTAGTTACATGTAAACGACCTGTGTATATAGCACCCAGCAATAAATTATGTTACAATAGAACAGAAATGTTCTTGGAATTAATATTGAGATTAAGTTGGATATCACACATAAATTAAGTAAAATCTGTCCATCCATCCATTTTCTGAACCTGCTTTGTCCACGCAGGGGGGGGGGGGGGGGGGGGGGGGGCTGGTGCCTATCTCCAGCAGTCAACGGGCAGTCAGGCGGGGTACACCCTGGACAGAGAGCCAGTCCATCGCAGGGCAACACAGAGACACACAGGACAAACAATCATGCACACGCACACTCACACCTAGGGACAATTTAGACGGACCAGTCAACCTAACAGTCATGTTTTTGGACTGTGGGAGGAAGTCGGAGTACCCGGAGAGAACCCATGCATGCACAGGGAGAACATGCAAACTCCATGCAGAAAGATCCCAGGCCGGGAAGCGAACCCAGGACCTTCTTGCTACAAGGCAACAGCTCTAACCACTGTGCCACTGCGCAACCTTTAAGTAAAATCTAAATGATCAAAACTATTACAGTATTGTAAAAATTCCACTACTTAATCAAAACTGACTAACCACTCTATATTAGTCATTATTTCCATACATGGCACATTGCATTGAAGTTCAGGGAAACACATATAAAACGAATACCAACCCAATAACTGCAAAAGAAAACCACATGAATCATAACCAACAAACCGTACAATACACCAACCAACCCACTATTCACCCATTATAACTCTTTGAAATTCAGCAATTTAGTCAATTTCCTCACAATACAAATTATGTATAAAGAAGAAGAAAAAAGCAACTCCTGCCTCATCGTGTCCAGACTCTGGTCCAAATAAAAACATATCTGCAACAGTTGTCCTGAAAACATAATATTGTGTTCTAACGTGTTTGGCTTTAAGAGACTTATAAAGAAAATATTATTTTTATACTAGGGAAAATTAAGTTTATATGCCTTGTAGTATTTTTGTTGTTCTATTGTTTCCTGGTATGGAGGAAATTTTAAGTTCATAGTCAAAAATTTTAACCTGTATGGTTTGGTGTTACGGTGTCATAGTCTAAGGTAAGGGTTAGGGTTTGCCCTTTAAGATACATAGGTCAGCTGGATTCAGTTGTCACTTGTACCAAAATAAAATTCATCCATTCATTCAAAGTGAGGCAGATCTAAATTATTTATTCAACCAGGCTATCTGTCTGTCTGTCTGTCTGTCTACCAGTATCTATGTATGTATCTGTCCATCCGTCTTGTCTGTCTGTCTGGTTTACCTACATTCATAAAGATTATAAAATATTCAGTCTGGTTCGTTTTTGCCAAAGACAGGTTAATTATATACCTGTGTTTATGCTTCTGTCCAGGTGAACACCTGTTTACTGTGTTTGCCCTTTTGTTTTTTGCCACTACTTCGGCCTGGTCGGGACTTTTACTGTGAAGGATCTACCGGAAAATGATGTGTCTTCGTGTGTTGTTACTTCACACTTCCGGCCAGGAAGTGCCTTCTAAGCGGATTCGTTTTCATGACCTGTGCTGTCGCAGGTAAAAGAACCGAGAACTGGTTAGCTAAAGTTAGCTTTAGAAGGTTTAGGTTAGTTCCGTTTAGAGGTACCGTCTGGTTACCGGTAGGTTCTGAACAGCTTACCGAAATGCGTGGGAAGTGACGGACCGGAGACTGAGACCGGTGTTTGTCAAGGAACCTTGCCTGGATGCCTTGGCCCCGCTCCGGTTGTCATCAGGAACCGCCAATACGTGTTCCAGTCGGTTCCAATCCCAATGTTGATGTTCTACCGAGGCATGTGTTCTCCGTTTGTTAGCTGTTGAGGACACACGGGCTAGCCTTGGCCAAGAATACACCGCGGTATTTTCAAAAGGACGGCGAATCATAAGCCGGCAGCTACTTCTGGGACAATTTTCAAGTTTAAAAGTAAGTCAACTAATTTAAAATGTTTGTTTTTTTTAGATCCAAAGAAGTTATTGGTTAGTTGGTTAGTAGTTGCAGCTTCGGTGGCTAGCGGGTAGTAACTCACCGTATATTTTTAATTTAATAAACATACGGGTATACACAATTTAAAAAGTAAAAGTCTCGTTATATATTTACTAATACATACAAAATATAACGTTGGTTACTTATTGTAACCCCAGATTCTGAGTCTAGTCGCAGCCCTTAAGCAAGCTGCTATTGGAAGGATGATCTCCGCATCAGCCAATCATGAAGAGCTTCAATGTACGCCCACTAATAGTGGGCCCCCTTGTGGGTATATAAGTGGAGCGACTCCACTGTTCACCTCCGATGGCTCTCAGACCTAACAGAACCAGTGGGGCCAGTGGCTTAAGGGCTGCGACTAGACTCATAGAATCTGGGGTTACAATATGTAACCAACGTTCTATTTCGTCTAGTCTTAGCCCTTAAGCAAGCTGCAATTGGAATAATGCGCAGCTGGATGGGTTTACGCCACACTGGTTAGCTCAACCAATGGACACACCCAACACGCCTTTTAGGGAGGGGCGCTCAGCCTCAGCCCAGGCTCGAAGGCTGAGGCAGCCAAAAACAAGAGTGGAGCCCCCACTAAAAAATAAAATCCATAAAAGGATGAAAATCATTCAAGCAGGGCTGATGGGATGCCATAAAGCGTTCACTCAGCCTGCTGAGGTCCAAGCACCGAACGAGTTACAGAACCTGAAGACACATCTCGTAAATAATAACGAGTAAAGGAACAGGGTGAAGCCCATGAAGCAGCCTGACAAATGTCTGCCATTGACACACCACTGAAGAGCACCATAGAAGAGGAAATCCCTCTGGCTGAGTGAGCCCTGAGTGTCTCAGGGGAATCCCGCCCTGTTGATGTGTACGCGAGTGAAATGGAGTCACATAGCCAGTGCGAAAGACGCTGAGTCGACAGCGCCTGCCCAAGGGAAGAATCTCTGTAGTGCACAAACAGGCTTTGTGAGCGGCGAATCCCCGAAGTGCGTGACAGATATCGTGCGAGCGCGCGCACCGGGCAGAGAAGATGGGAAGCCGCCTCCTCATCAGAATTATGGGGAGGAGGAAAAAGACCAGCCAATGAAATTGACCTGGATTTGAAGGAAGCCGTAATGCCTTTGGGCACAAAGGCTGGGTTGGGGCATAAAACAGCAGACCCGCCATCCTCCCGGATCCTGAGGCATGCGGGAGCCACCGAGAGGGCGGCCAGGTCACTCACTCTCTTGACTGATGCCAGAGCCAGCAGCAAGGCCGTTGTGAGTGACAGGAACTTGAGTGAGACCTGGTCCAAGGGCTCAAATGGGGCTTTAGATAAGCCGTGTAGAACCACCGTTAGGTCCCACTGGGGGAAACAGCGGCCGGGACACAGGTCTGTTCCTCCTGACGCCTTTTAGAAAGCGTTTCGTGAGGGGATGACTGAAAACAGATCTATCTCCAAAGCCCTGATGACAGGATGAGATAGCTGCAGCATATGTCTTAACAGTGCTGAATGCGAAGCCTCTGTCCATCAGTATCTGTAGAAACGATAGGACATCCGCCAGCTGGCAGGAGAGCGCTTGAAAATTCCGTTCTGTGCACCAGTTCTGGAAAGCTGCCCATTTAGCAGCGTAAGATGCTGCGGTAGAGGGCGCTCGTGCACTCTGAATCGTGGCCACCACATCATGCGGCAGCCCAGAAGCCTCTAAGCGTGACCGCTCAGCGGCCAGACCCAAAACCTCTGGCCTATTTCGGGAGGATGTCTGATTATTCCATCCGCCTGGAGAAGGGCATCCTCCCTCCATGGCAGCCTCCACGGGGAGCCGGACACTAACGCTTGTAGGTCTGGAAACCATGACGCGGACAGGCTTCTGGGAGCCACCAGAATCACCGAAAGCTGTTCTGACCGAACTCGGTCCAGGAGCCGGGGAATCAGAGGGACTGGCGGAAACGCATAGAGGAGCGTTCGAGGCCAGGGCTGGTGTGAGAAGGCGTCCGCCCCGAGTGGGGGTCGGTCCCGGGGTCTCAGGGAAAACCACAGGCGACACTGAGCGTTTTCTCGAGCCGCAAACAGATCCACAGAAGGTACCCCGAACCTGGTCCAGATCAGCGACACCAGCGCAGGATGCAGACGCCAGTCGGAGTCGCGGGGTCCCCCTCTCTACAGGATGTCTGCTGCCACATTCAGGACCCCCGGGATGTAGGTGGCCTTGATGGACAGCAGGTGGACATGTGCCCAACACAGTAAATCTGTGCCTACACGCAGCAGAGGGAGAGACCGAACTCCCCCTTGGCGATTTATGTAGGCTGCCGCCACCCGATTGTCCGTGTGAACTTCGAAATGACGGCCCTCGAGAAGGGCAGCGAAGTGTCTGACCACCTTCCACACTGTCATCAGCTCCAACACATTTATGTGTTCGTGCGTGTGGGAGGGCCAGCGATCTGCCACCGTATGGGACAAGCACGTTCCCCCCCACCCCAACAGCGACGCATCCGTAAACACAGCCACGTGAGACGCAGGGCGTCCGATGGGAACTCCGTGTGAAAGGGTGCAGGGGTTCCCCCAGTGAGCGAGGTCCCCGCCCACTGAGGGGGGAACCCTCAACATACGTGCCTTCTGACGTATTGCGTGCACCCGGAGGCGGATAAACCAACGTTGCAGGCGCCTCGTGTGCAGCAACTCTAGCGGCACCACAGCGTGGGCTGCAGCCATCATGCCCAGAAGTTTCATAATTAACAGGGCCCTCACGATCCTGCGGGGTTGCACGCAGGAGATCACCGCGATGAGATCTGCTGCTCTCACCGGCGACAAACGCGCTCTCATCAGGGAGGCGTTCAGCTCCACCCCGAGAAACACAATCGACTGGGACGGAAGGATGGAGCTGTTCTCCCAGTTTATAGAAAACCCCAGGGTTGACAGATGCTCTGTTAACTTCCTGGTCTGTTCCGACGCCTCGTCCTCGGACCGAGCGCACAGGAGCAGGTCATCCAGGTAGAATAAAACACTGTCTCCCGCCGCGCGCAGCGCGGTCTCCAGACATTTGGAGAAAGTGCGCGGGGCTAGCGAGTAGCCGAAAGGGAGGCGATTGAATTGGTATTGAACTCCCTTGAATGAGAAGCGCAGGAACTTCCGGTGCCTGGGAATTACCGGGATGTGGAAGTATGCGTCTTTCAGGTCTATTGACGTGAACCAGTCTCCGGAACGCACGTATTCCAGGACTTGCCTCATTGTCAACATGCGGAAATGCATCACTGCTATGGAGCAGTTGAACAGGGAAAGATCTAGAATTGGTCTCATTCCTCCCGACTTCTTCGGTACTATGAAGTAGCGGGAGTAGAAACCCGAGAGTTCTTGTCCGCGAGGGACTCGGGGAAATAGCGTCCTTGGACAGAAGTTCCCGCAGCTCCAGCTCCAGGGTCTGAGACTGAACTCGTGATGTGAACGTTGTCTCCACGATCCCGTTGAAGGGAGGAGGAGCGGCCTGAAAATGGAGTGCGTGACCGTAATGAATGGTCTCCGACATCCATTTGCTCATTGCACAAAGGCGGCGCCATTCGCGCGCGCGTTCAGACAGCGGACGCATGTTCGCGGTCACGTGAGTAATGTCTGAAGACTGAGTATGCGCCCTTACCGCTGTCGCTCGCCCCAGAAGACTGGGGGCGACCCGTGGAGGGCTGTGCTCGAAAGGGCGAGTGTGAACCAGCTGGAAGAGGCTGATCCTCACCGCGGGGTGTGGAGACCAAAGGAGCAGGGCATGTGAGAGCCGGGACCATACACAGGGATGGCAAAGTGCCCGCGGACGGAGCCGCGTACTTTGCCGCTGCGCGTGACCACGGCCGCGTCATGACGTCCCGTCCCACCCAGCGTTGTGGGGAAAACGGGACGGGCTGGGCCTGGCCGGAGGCCGGGGCCGGTGCGCGAATGGAGCGCACCTTTACAGCCGGCCGTGAGACATGACTGACTGCGGGAATACGTATATGTGCCGCAGTGCTTGATGTGGGGAACGTGTGTGAAGAGCCGGCTGAGGACTCTGCAGAGGACTGTAGGATTGAGCTCTTTAAGTGACGTTTTTTGGGTTTTATTTCAAAACCAACATCAACATTAACAGCAGCATCAACAGCATTACACTCATGAACACACACATTACCCCCAAGAAGTCATTTCCGTGGCTGCTTCCGGCGAGGCTCCTGCGCCTGCGACTGCCATGACGGCGTCTGCTGGCTCCGTCGAACCCGTTGGCCGCCAACTCGCTGGTCTCGCTGAGGTGGAGCGGGGGGCCGGCTCCGTGGAGCGGGCGGCACAGCTGGGCGCCTGAAGTTCCCACGCCATTCGTCCCATCCTCTGGCGGAACAGCCGGAGTGCGAGGCTGACCGAGGGTGGACCAAGTCTCGCACCGCAGCTGATAGTTCAGCTGTCTTCTGAGCCCTCTCGATGACGCCCCTAAGATGGGAACCGAACAAAACGTCAGAGGTGATGGGGCCTTCCAGCATCTCTCTGTGCAGGTGATCAGGAATGGAGGGCAGGGCCTTGAGCCACAGGGCCCGCTGGATGAGGGTCTGCCAGGCAGCAATGCGAACAGAACCAGTGAGCACAGCAGCGCATAGATTGAGGATAGCAGCAGTAGTTTTAATGATGGCGGTCTTCGACTCGTCGGGAGCGTCCAGCTCCTCCATCATCTTTCAAACGCCGAAGGCGAGAAGGGCGATGTTATTCCCTGCAGCGCCGGTCTGAAAGGCACACTGGTGTGTGCGGTCGGTGAGCCGCGTCAGCAGCTGGTCATGTTTCGAAGCGGGAACTGCTCGCGGGCCAGCAAGGTGGTTCTTGGCGCCAAACAGCGAGGCCAAGTCCGGCTCGAGTGGAGGAACGGACGGCCAGCCCTGGTCGGAGAAGCCCTCGACCTTGGTGATGGGCGCGTAGGTGGAAACTGGCGCCTTGAGCTTTGCAGGCTCGGTGAAGGCAGCGGGCCAGCAGCCCATAGCAGCGGGGAAGCGCGGCCAGATAGGGTCTGGACAGCGCGTCTGCTTTGTCCCGAAAATTCCCGCCAAGTCATCCGCTTCGGGCGGGGGCGGTTCTGGAATGGCTAGCCCCTTGTGGACCACAGCTGCGGAGATGATGGCGGGCAGCTCCTGGAGCAGTGCTCTTACTGCTGGTAGGGAGGAGCGAGAAGCCACTGGGGCAGGAAGACCCGCTGAGCCAGGCTCGTCGACCTCCTTGTTGTCTAGGAGGGAGGAATTGCTAAGGCGGCTAGCCTCGTCGTAGTCCTCGCTGTCTGTGATGTCATCCAGCCGGTTGAAGCCAGCCGGCTCCTGACCGGCGTTGAAGAAGTCCAAAGCCTTGTCCAGCGAATACGCCTCAGCCACTGGGAATTCCTCGGCGGCGGCGGGAGTGAAGCACTCGACCCGGCGGATCTTCTCAGCCACAGGCAGGGCGGCACAAAACGGGCACGAGGCCTGGGGGGTCAAGGCCAGGCCAGCGTGATGAGCCCCGAGACAGACCTCGCATTTGGCGTGCAGGTCGCCTGCTGGAAATGGAGCCCATCTGGCAGGCCGGGCAGGTTCTGGCGTCGCTGGACGTGCTGGTGAGTCGAATCTTCTTGATAGCTGCTCTTTAGAGAAGCTCTCAGGCTTGGCATGAAGAGAAAAAGGAGGCGAACAGTGGAGTCGCTCCACTTATATACCCACAAGGGGGCCCACTATTAGTGGGCGTACATTGAAGCTCTTCGTGATTGGCTGATGCGGAGATCATCCTTCCAATAGCAGCTCGCTTAAGGGCTAAGACTAGACGAAATAGAACGTAATCTCCTGTGTCACGTGACGTTACCGCCGTGGAAGCGTGGTCACGTGATGCAAGTCTGTTCCATTTAACCGTTTTCTTTGACCAAGGAAGGACAGACTGGACAGTGCCCTGGTGAGAAACCACCGTGTTCGGACCGGCTCCAGTCTGAGGTCTGAAAGATGAACCCGCTCTCGGTCCTGTTCCTGCTCGCATCAGGTAAACATTTGTTTGTTTGTTTGTGTTCTGTTATTAGTACAGTCGTAACACCGGGTGTGATTGTACCATCAGAGCTGTAGAGAGTTGCGACACTCCAATAAACTTCTAGGAAAGAATGGAATGCGGAAGTCACGTGGTTCATGTAGCTTCGAATGGTTCCAAACAGCCCCCGCTGCTGCATTGACCGCAGTTCGTTTTCGGTGTTTCGGAAGGATTTTCTCCGGTAAGTTGATGAAATGTCATCATTTTTTGCATTGTGAAGCGTTAGCTAACCGCTTTGTACCAAAATAAGCCAACGATGATATTTTATGTTGCCAGTTTTAGCTAGATAACCTTTAATGAGCTAACTGTGTGCAGCTTGTTGATTGCGAGCAGGAGGGTTTAGACAAGCTTGACGAGCTGCAGACGGGTTTATTTCGGTTTGTTTGATTCTACGTTTTAAAAATATTCCCCACAGTTTGAAATAGGTTCTAAACTTTTTACATTATTAGTTTTATTTGGGATTTCTTTGTACAATACGTTGCTGGTTGCTGTATCAACACGAACATGCATCAGAAATGGAAGCACGAAAATGTGATTGTGAAGACAAATAATTATTAATATTTTTCAGTTAATAACACTGACTGCAACAAACTGCTGAAGCATGAGACAAACAGGATAACGAACATAAGAAGTGTCAGGTTTAAGCACCTAAGACACCACATAACAACACAACACAGGAAAGAGACACAAAAGTCAGAATTCTGTTAAAGCTCGAGGAGAATGGAATAAAGTCACACCAACCCAGTCTCCACTGAGCTGACGCTTCCTGAAACCATTCTGACCTCTGAAATCTGAGCACCTTTATTTATTACAAATTGGGAGCTCCCTAGTTACATGCCTGAGAGCTGATTCTGAAGGGAGGGGGGAACACAGCTCTCAGTCCTAGATTGTTGCAAGTTTAAAACAAAGAGCATTCATTATTACACAAAGAACTTTCAGTGTCTTATCACACGATGAGTTAGCAATTGATAGAACAGCGGATCTTCTCAGGTCGTCCTTGGGTCACATTAAGTCAGATTTTAACACCCTTAAAAACTCATGAGGGAATTTTACAATACAGCAACTGTTTAAGTATATAAATGATCAAATCATTGAGCATAAAACATGGTAAATGAAACAATTTTTAATTGTAATAAAAGCATAAAACATGATAATTGAAAACATGAATAATAGTTCTGACAAGAAGATATGTTGTTCTGGTTTGTGGACTCAATAAGAATAGAATTAAGATATTTCAAGAATAGTAGTCGAACACAATAACTTTTAAAAATGAGACCTTTTCAATAAAACTGCTCATTTCCACTTGCTTTATAATATTAGCATTTGCAATTTTGTTATTAAGGAATGACAAGAAATGAGAATTAACAATAACACAACTATCAATAAATAAATGTCAAAGAGTTACTAAAACAAAAATCTTATGTAACCAATAAAGGTGAAACTGTGTTGTGTGTCCTTCTTCATGTTTTCATAGTGGCTGAGTGAAGAGCTGACCAGGAACAACGGTGGTGGCAAATCCCAGTTGGGTCTGTGATGGAGTGATGCACGCCTGGAGTGATTGCCATCTCATCCACAGTAAGCACACACTCTCTTTCCATCTCTGTCAGATTTTTCACCTTCAAACTGAGCATGTCACACACCTCTCCTAACACACCTGGTTCCAGTTTAACGGGCTGCATTTGTCTTTGCAGGGTTCTAACCCCAAAATTCCACTACCTCCGCCCCCACCTTCTGCAGCCGCTCGCTTCCGCTCTACAACGGCTCCGCTCCGGTGCGGAGACCTGAGGTGCGCAAACAGGCATGTGCGGGATTTTCGAGATCTTGCGATACAGTCCGAGCAATAAACGCGGAAGTTAGATCCAAACACCCGTTGTGTGGGAGAAGCATCGAAATGAACTGTTTAATCTGCCCATCATTTGTGTTGAGAGATCAGCAGTGTTTGGATCAACAAAGTGTGACTACTTTGATAGTAGAAACTATTTATGGCTTATTTTTGTGCATTTAAAGTTCAGCCACCATTGATAGTTGTTAAAAGTTGTTAAAGCTGTGCATATGAAACAAAAAACGCTTTTTGTTTATCGATTTATTGTGAAAAACGGAAGTTGTGCTTGCTCCTTTTCCTGTTGGGCGGTTGTGATTTCTGTCCATTGACTGCGGAGGTGCTCCGGCGTCCAGCAAAAATAGAATCAATCCTATTTTTGCCGGATGGCGGAACAGCGGGCGGCCGCAGTAGTGGAACAGCTCTGATTGACTACAACAGGACCGATTATGCTGCGGAGTTCGTGCCGGAGCGGAGGTAGTGGAATTTTGGGGTAACATCAGGCAGAGGGATACTCATGTCCTGAAGAAACCTGCAGCCTGTTGAACCCACTGAAAAACAGAGTTGTACGGCCTCTTTGATTGTCTGTTTCCTCCATTTAATGCCTCTTGTGTTTTTCATGCCTTTTTGACTTTCTGTTTCCTCCCTTAGGTTTTCCAGCTGGGTTCCCTGGTTGCAGAGCCTGTTCCTTTCTCCTCCTGGCCCTGACGCCGGCTCCTCATGGCTTCCTGGGATGTCCCTCTCTCCTGATACCATCTCATGTCCCCCCTCACTTTCCCTCATCTCATTTGCCTCACTGCTGCTGCTGCTTTACTCAGTCTCTGAAATTATAACGGCACTGTTAGAATAAAGAATAATTTTAAAATAAAAGAAATAAAAACGTCTAATATTTCAAAAGATTGGTACCACAGTTTACTTGAGTACAACATGTGTGGTCACTGGTCAGTGGATCAACATGCAGTGGTTCTGCTTTGCTTCTCACTGCGGGGTCCTTCCTCCTCCTTGGTTCAGGGTGATGAACAAACACAGCATCAGCCCTGAGTCTCACCTTGCCTTGCCACGTCTTAGTAAACTGTCCCTCCTCTACATGTGCCTGTAGAGTGGTGTATTAGTTTATTTCCTGCCACATTTAACAGTTTAATTGCAGCCTTGTGCAGTTGAGAGCAGAACATGTAGAGCCTTGATAGAAAACATGTTAGAGTGCACGTTAAACTCACTGCACACAGCTTTTTGTTATTGTGATCTCTGGTCATGGTGAGGATGCTCCTGCTGACTTGAGCCAACCATTTTCTTCTTCTCTCTGCATCTTTGGGTAAGCCATAATTCTGATTCCTCCCTCAGACCGATTGCTACATCCACATGCAACACAGCCAACCATGTAAGATAATCAACCTAGAAAGGTATTAAAATACTAGTTTTATAAATATAGACATATTGAACTAAACTAAAAATATAGATGTAAAAAAACATTTTTAAATTTTATCCAACCCTAAAATTTGTAATTTCAAATTTCAACCCACGGACACATTTTATTTTAATAATAAAGTTTTTCAAGAGTTTTATTAGGTCTGAATTCTAACTTTCAATAAACACTTTAAAATGGATATTACAACTCGAGTTTAGGGCTTCTTGTAGGACTTACTTATTAAATGCTGTTAGAGCAGTGTGTTGCATTACTACATCAAATTTATTTCTATAATATATTATAGTAATGTTTGTGGTCTAAATGTGTTCTACAGTGTGTTAGGACTGTCGTGTTCCTGTAATGTAGAACAGTCACGGGTCTTCCTACAAATGCTCGGAAAAAAATAAATAGGCTACTTTGTGAAGGATTTAGGATATAATATATAATATAATATATAATATTATTCAGTAATTACCAAAAATCGCCAGGGAAATGTGACAATATTCAGTTTTTGTGATTTGTCCCACTATACGCCGTTCAAACTGACTTACGGCGCTGGGATGTTTGGAACTATTGAGAGCTCCATGAACCACATGACCGCGAGTCGGCGAGTTCAAAGCGTGTCGCAACTCTCTCTTTCTACAGCTATGGTTGTACCTGTCCCAGTCACGTGACTATGCCCTGGACTTGCAGGTGTCGTGTCTCTTCCTGCTCCAGCCAACTTGTCCGTCAGCTCTCAGAACTTGCACCACGTCCTCCGCTGGGACCCGGGACCCGGCAGCCCCCCGGGGACCCAGTACAGGATCTACAGGGGGTGAGTTCTCAGAACCGATCAGTCCAGATGACCCGGTTCCTGGTCTTTAACCAGAACCTCTCATAAGCGGAGTCCAGCAGCATGTAGGGCATTAGTCCTGGATGGCACCGAAGCTCAGAGATGTTTATTGTTGTGACTTGACCAGAGTTTATAACTTGTGCGACCCTAAAGGTGTTGAAGTGAAAGGCTCATTTATGACTAAACAACCCAAACCCACCCACCTGTCAGGTGTAAACTTCTAGTTGCTCAAAATCGGAACCGTTTTCTTAAGTCTAGCAGAACGGAACGCTCTAATGTAACTCTTGGTTTCTCACGCTCTCTGGTTAGGGTCGTCCCACCCGCCCACCGCCTGTATGAACTGATCCGCTGGCCGTGGATCAGCTGCAAACATTTGGTTGTTATTTTATAACAAGCAGGAAGTGAGAGCGGGAGGTGTTTGGGTCAGGTATTCATGTGGGGTCGTCTGTGCTCTAGGGGCACCCGTGACCTTTGATCTGCTGACTCGGAGCTCCTGGATGGAACATCTGACTGAGTGAGACATGTGTGCGTCGCCGTTTCCATGTCCTGTTTGTTAGCAGCGCATCGCTGTGGTTTTCACGCTGCGCCTACTCAGAACCAGCACTGCCTTTTTCAGACCGAACTCCTGAGTCAGACGTGTTGTTGGGAAACACCGTTAGGTTTCTTCTTCACGTGAAAACAAAAGTTTCTCTGGTGTTAGAATGAAAACTGGATGGAGTCATGAATAAGACGTAAATCCAGACTTCAGCTAGAGTAGAATCCGCTCCACAGACTCCGGCTGCCCAGAACCAGGAACCTGAGCAGGTTGATGCTGTCTCTGCTGCTTCCACAAAGCTTTCAGCATGTCTTTAAAGAGTAACTAAACTCCAAAGTAACTTATATTTTGCTTATAAGCTGTATAATCGGGTCTTTACAAATGCAGTCTGTCTATTTCTGTGCATCTTCTGACATGTTTGTGTAAACTTGATTAAATCTAATCCAAAGGGTTCAGATGAAGGAAGCTGGACTTCTTAGGTTTCTTGAAGACGTTTAACTTCTCATCCGAGGAGATTAATCCATTCTAACTAGAATATGAGTCGAGCTTATAAGCTGTAGCTGTTACAGCAGCTCTTTGAATGTGAAGACTCCACCTTCTAACCTGTCCCCATAAGAAAGAAAAGCCATCTCCTCCCTCAGCAAAGACCAGAACATCACAATTTTACCTGCAGACAAGCGTGGTCGTACGATTATTCTGAACCAAACAGATTACCACAACAAAGTCACCACACTTTTGAGCGACAGCACCACGTATGAAGCTCTAAAGAGGGACCCGCCAAGCGGATACAAGAAGAAAATCATGGACCATCTACAGAAACTGCTAAAGGACAAAGAAATCATTTTACTACAGACTATCCAGTAGAAGCCACCCCATGTATATATGGTCTTCTGAATATTCACAAGGAAAAAACACCACTCAGACCGGTCATCAGCAGCATCAACTCGGTCACATCTCCACCATCCTAGCCCCGCTGGTTGGAAGGACCCAACATCACGTACAGAATTTGGTGGATTTTGCAAAGAAGGTCCAAGATCTCAAACTGGCCCCAGGGGAAACCATCGTCTCATCTGATGTCACTTCACTCTTCACGTGTTTACCCACAGCCAAAGCAGTGGAAGCAGTTAGGAAACGGCTGGAACGAGATGATTCCTGAAACGAGAGGACAAAACTGACTCCAGACCAGATCTGTACCCTCCTGGACCTCTGCCTTTCTACCTTCTTCAAACACAATGACAAGTTTTACAGGCAGAAACATGGATGCTTCATGGGTCCCCAGTGTCACCTATCATCGCCAACATCTACGTGGAGGAAGTGGAAACCAGAGCATTGAACTCCTACACTGGAACAACACCAAGCCACTGGTTCAGGTATGTGGACGACACATGGGTCAACATTCTCACCAAGGAAGTAGAAGACTTTACCAAGAACATTAATGCCATGGACAAGAACATCAAGTTCACCAGGAAGGATGCCCACAACCACCAACTGCACTTCTTGGACTGTGCTGTGCAAACTGAACAAGATGGAAGTCTCAGCATTGGCTTTAAACCCAACAACACTCTAGGACAGAAACTGGTCCATCTTAAAGACAAAACACCCAAACAGAAGCTCAGTGGCATCGTTTATGCAGTCCAGATGTTTACATCGGGGAGACTAAACAGCAATTACACAACAATCCCTGGCTAGGGGTGGAGTTACGTGGTGTGCAGTCCCTCTATAAACATTCTGTTCAGCCTTTTGTTCCTTCTCCTTCTTTGCTCCTGTTGTCACTGCTGCTGTGAATTCCCCCCAACAGACAATAAAGGGATTTTATTCTGATTTTTGTTCTATTCTAATCTATTGTACCATTTGAGTGCCTCCATTGCACGACAATAAAAGCTTCTGATCGTGATTCACAAAATCAAATCTAGTGTTTTTTCTCAGAAAGTTTAAAACGACAGCAGGACCTGCTCTCCTTTCTGAAGGCAGATTAAGTGGTAGAACAGTAGACCCTACTGAGGGTTAGGGTCAGTCGTCTGTTAAATGAGAGCTGATACATCTTCAGTGACAGAAGGATGTCCATGTTCTGGACGAGTGAGGACCTGACCCAGCACAGTTCATGATGAGATTCTGTTTCTCCTCAGGGTCTCTCCCAAACCAATGAAGCGTCTACCCAAAGCCACCAACCAGACATGGTTTCAGATCAAACTGAACCCTGAGAAGCGGTACAAGCTTGCTGTGGAGGCCTTCTATAACCAGACCTCGTCTCCAATGTCCAACAGTATCCCCTTCTACCCCGCCAGTGAAAGTAAGTCGGTCTCCAGACCTACCCAGATGTTAACTGGAACAGAGAAACCAGTTTATTCTGTCTGGTTTCATTTCTCCCAACATTTTCACATTTATACTTCTGCTCCATAAAAGTCCTGTCTTTGTTTTTGGGAAAGCTGTCATCGGTCCTCCGGGCGTATCATTGGCTGGATGTGGCACGTGTATCCAGGGAAACATTTCACATCCTGTTTTTGACAGCCAGTCGGAAGTCCCCTTTGCTCCTCACTTCAGCGTGATGTGGAGGAAAAAAACAGAGAACAACCAGCAGGTCAGATGAGACTTCTGGTCTGATGATTGGAGTTATCTAGTTAGCGTTAGCATTAGCCTAACCCTATTGGAACTGGGTCACTGTTAGCGCTTTCATTTACCAGCTTGCTGCATTAGTGACCTGGTAAAAGTCTGTTTTTGTTGTTGGCTTTAGGAGCTGGAAACACAAAAGAAGAGTTTTACCCTGAGACACCTGGAGAAAGGTGTGGAGTACTGCATACGGGTCAACACAAAGATACGTATAAACAAACACACCCTGCCCTCTAACTGGACCTGCAGCTTCACCAGTCCACCAAAACCACAAACAGGTGAGCTGCAACCAGGAGAGCTGTCCAGTTCCTGGAGGACCAGATCTGGAACATGTGGATGAAGGACAGGAACAGGAGCTTTTACTCTGGTTCTTTGATGGGGTATGGGGTCCTGGTTGATGTGAAGCTGTTCTGATCGGTTTCTTCCTCCAGACATGCTGGTTTTTGCTGTGGTTGCCGTTGTTCTGCTTGTCGGTGCCGTGGTTCTGTGGTTTGGTCTCTACTACACTGGATTCATCTGTAAAGTAAAGAAGGCGTTGCCCCGGGGGCTGATGGTGAGACAAACACACGGGATGTCCTCCATCTCTTAAAGCTTTTAGATAATTTCTTGTTTTAGCTTGTTCTCTTTCTTATCTTTGGTTTTATTGTTTATGCTTCTAGCTCACAGGTAGGGAACCCTGGTCCTGGAGAGCCACTATCCAGCACATTTTAGAGGTTGACCTGCCTTAAAACACCTGATTTTAATCAGCAGGTGATTAACAGGCTTCTGCAGAGCCTGATGAGCAGTTGAACAGGTGATTCAACTTTGTTGTAAGCAGGGCGACCTCTAAAACGTGCTGGATAGTGGTTCTCCAGGACCAGGGTTCCCTACCCCTGTTCTAGCTGATGCTGTTGTTTCTATATTAGGGTACTGTTTTTAGGGTTTTCAGCGGCTTGCATCCATGATCTCGTTCTTTCGGTCACTACCCAAAGCTTGTGACCATAGGTGAGGGTAGGAACATAGATTGACCGGTAAATCGAGTCCTTCACCTTCTGGCTCCGCTCTCTCTTCACCACGACAGATCGGTACAACGCCCATGTCACTGCAGACGCAGCACCAATCCACCTGTCGATCTCACACTCCGTCTTTCCCCCTCTTGTGAACAAGACCCCGAGATACTTGGGACAGGACCTCATCCCTGACCCGGAGAAGGCGTTCTACCCTTTTCCGATTCTAGACCATGGTCTCGGATTTAGAGGAGCTGAGTCTCATCTCAGCTGCTTCACACTCGGCTGTGAACCGCTGTTCATCACATCACATTCTGATGAAGCTAACAGGACCACATCATCTGCAAAAAGTAGAGACCTGAGAGACCACCCCGCTCTTTATCTGAGTGTCCAAGACATGCAGCTGCAGATCAGATGAAACAACAACAATGTTGATCATCGACTCGTGGCCTAAGGTATCCTGGTGCCAGGAGCACATATGGACACCTTTATGCTTGAACATGGTGTTCATTACGGACAATCCAGTCCAGTAACAAAACACTGCTTGAATTTCTCCACACCACACCTCTCCAGGTCTCACTGTCGTGAGTACTCTGAACTATAGTCTGGTGCATTAGCACAAACCACAGTCAGGACCCGTCCCTCTACACGTAGGCGGAGGGAGGCTACCCTCTCGTTCACCGGGGTAAACCTCCACATACATGCACCAAGATGGGGGGCAACTAGTATGCCCACCCCTGCTCTGCACCTCTCGGTGGGAGCAACACCAGAGTGGTAGCATGTCCAACCCCTCTCAAGGAAACTGGTTCCTGAGCCAGAGCCATATGTTGAGGTGAGTCCGTCTATATCTACTCAAAACCTCTCAACCTCACACACCAACTCAGGCTCCTCCCCCACCAGAGAGGTGACATTCCACGTACCGAGACCCAGCTTCTGTAGCCGAGGATCAGACCGCCAAGGTCCTCACCTTTGGTCATCACCCATTGCACCTGAATCCTTTGGCTCCTCACACAAGTGGTGAGCTCATGGCAAGGGGGACCCACATTTCTTCTTCGGACTGTGCCCAGCCAGGCTCCATGGGTGAAAGCCCGTCCACCAGGGGCTCGCCGATGTGCTCCACCTTCAGGCCTGGCTCCTGACGGGTGCAGCGGTGACCTGCGTCCGAGCAAGCGATCACGGTTTCCATTTGTATTATTCATCGTTAGGGGTAATTGGACTGCACTTTGTCTGATCCCTCACCTAGGACCTGTTTGCCATGGGTGACCCTACCAGAGGCATAAAGCCTCAGACAGCGTAGCTCCTAGGATCAATGACACTCAAACCCCTCCACAACGGTAAGGTGGCTGCCCATGGAGGGGACCACATTTATCAATTGAACAAACACGGACAGTTACCATAGTGACCAGAGTGATCAGTTACCATAGTTACCACTGCGATAGGGTTGGGCATCGATCGGAACCTGGTCAGTTTTTTCCAGAATCGATGACTTTTTATTTTAATTCCTAGTTTTGATTCCTAGTATTCTGACCAGAAGAGGAATGTACAGCCAATCTCCGCAGAAAAAAAACGCGATCTGCAAATTCTGATCAACGCCTTTCAGAGCTGATTACACCAGCTGTCTGTCGCCCCTACCCTGTAGCCTGCAGAGACCCATGAGAGCAGCATACATCCCCCTCCCTTCCCTCACACTGCGCAGGCGTGTAGTGGCAAATGTGTAAACAAATGCGTCTGCCAAACTTTTACTACATGGTGCAAGGTTAAACTCTTGCAGCGTGGTGGAATCTTGTTAAAATGCGTTAACAATACAACTTTTGAAGAACAAACTCCGGGCAGTGTGAGGTGAGTTAAGGCTCACTGCAGAAATAAAAACACACACAGCTCAACAGTCAGACGCAGCCTCTCAACAGCACTCGTCTTTGTGAGTGACCGTCAGAAGGCTGAGCGATAAAGTCATCATGCAAGAGCAGCCTCCTCTGTGGTTGATGCCCACTAGGAGCCAATGGGGAGCCTAGGCCACGCCCATCTACTTCCGGCCCGCGGGTCCCCAGAAAGACGAACAAATGAATGTAAGTCAGTGGGGCTAAAAACGCTATTTTCTAATTCCGCTTGTGATGTGCCATGGATTTCACATATAATGTTTGTGAATTTTAAAGACACATTTTGATAACAGGAAAGTGCTTATTTTCGAACGGGGGGGATGTTATTTTAGGTTTTCTGTGAAAATAAGTCCAGGACTACAAATGCACATCCCCAAAGTGACGTCATCGAACCAGACACGGAGAAAAACTGAGGAAAATGGCTGTAAGTTCAGCAAACTTAAAATCCTTCTTTCAGGAGGAAAGAGCCACCATAAATCTGGTCATGTGGTGAGTAGCAGCTATGCTAGGGGGAGGAGACTGATGACGTCACATATGCATTTATTTTTCCTTCCTCCTCTTGTACAGACTTGTCCTCACCGATGTTTCAGGTCTCATCAGGTTAATGTAACAATTGTCCCAGACTCCCAGGCTTTTTGCTCATGCCACCTCCCTCCTCCTTACACAGTGATCAGATACGTGTGAGCGCCACTGCATTGTCAGATTAAAGACGTGCGTGTGTGTGTGTGTGTGTGTGTTTTACTGTTTGTATCATCACTGTGTTTTACAGGGAAGCCAAAATGCTCCCATACACGCAACTTAAACGATGCAGGTGGTTTCTCCAGATCTTTCCTCCTCCTCCATGATCACCACTCTGCTTTTCTTGTTTGGATTGAACAAGTGGCACCTCGGCCCTTCACATGACCGATCCGCTGATCATGTGCCAAACCATAAAGCAATCCGTGCAGATCACGGATCAGTGATGAGCCGCTGCACCTCTACCAGCTATCTCAGTTAGCAGAGATCAGTTACCAGAGTGATCAGTGACCATTTTCCAAAGGCACTACTCAGCCCAAAAACAACTCAGTACAGTCTGACTTACCTCAGCTCATATCAGTGTAGTTTTGTTTCCTACCATATTCGTGGGTGCTCCCCCCAAAGTACACAGCAGGAGGGGAGGGGGGCCAGCAGTACTCGTGACAAAAATAGCATGAGGTGATGAGTGAGTGAGGTGATCGGTTACACAGAAACACAACTCGGCACAATAATGGTGCGTTCTTCTTACTTTTATGGCTTTTTGCCAGACTGAACTAGGAAATGGGTCAGGAGGAGGATGGCGTCAGTTCGGTCTCATACGGGAAGTGTAGCGTTCACATGTAGTTCTGGTGAATTTCTCAAGAACGTGGTAATCCCCCATCATGTGGGCGCCGTTGAAGATGCAAAGGGAAGTCTGTGGTGTCCTCCTCAAAAAGATGAACCAAGGCGAGCCTGAGCTGTGTTGCTTTTAGAGACTCTGAACCACATAATTTATTACTTTGCTCCTTGTTCACTCATGTCGTGCATGTCCTCGAGCTCTGCTCACTCACACTCGCTGCTCTCCTCCCACAGAGCAGCTGTGACGAGCTCCGTGCAGAGATGTTCGCGGCTCAGAGCACACACACACACACATGGCTCTCTTCCCTTCCCACTGAGCGGCAGCGCCATGCTGCAGACAGATGCTTACTTAACAGCATCCATCTTGAAAATGAAACGTGCATACAGGAACGCCCTCACTAGCTGATTCTGCTTGCCAATCAGAGGCGGTAGGCATGAATTTCAGCCGGCCAATCCGTTCGTAGTGTCACCTCAGTCCCAGTTGGACCTCCGAGGAGGTGGTCTGAAAAAAAAAAGTCACCTCAGAACAGAACATTCATATCTGACCCAGGTGTGAAACCGAATTCTGGTCCTGTACTCAACCGTACTGACCCTAATGTGTAAGCGCCAATAGTGACCAGAGTGTACACATGTTTTTCACGTGGTCTACATGATTGTTTCTTTCTAACTGATCTGGTTTTGACTCTTCTCTAGATGGCGCTGTGGCATGACCCCTTCCTGACCCTGGACTGGACCGTCTCAGATCCAATCTCTATTAGTTCTAAAACCAGGAACCTGAGGAAGCCTGTCCCTGTGTCCCATCCACACAGGGACACTGACTCGGAGCTGGATGATGATGAGGAGGACAGGATAAATCCATACATGGACCGAGACCCAGAACTTTCTTCAGGTAAAGGTTCAGACCAGGGTTCTGCTAACCCAAAACTGGAGGTGCTGAAGGATTCTGGGAGTTTATTGGTGAGGCCATGTACAAAGATGGAGGAGCTTCAGATGGATCGGTACGAGACCAAATCAGGAGGAGATTGCTTATTGCAGGAGGCGGGGCCAGCCGGAGTCCAGGAACAAATCACAGATGAGAAACAAGAGGAAGTCCAGGATATCTCCGGGAATGTCAACCTGTTTTCTGTCACACTTGCCTCGTTAGCTCCATATGATGAAGAGGAGGAACAGGACTCCACAGATTTTTTAAGAGTCTGTAGTGTGAATCTTCTGGGCCAGGCAGCCACCCAGACTAAACAGAATCATCCATGTCCTTTAAATCCAGAAGGAAAGGTTTCTGGATATGACAGCAGGTGTGTGGACACCTGGATTCATACTGATGATGAAGAGGAGGAGGAGGAGGAGTTGCCCGAGTATCTGACACACAGATGAACTCTCGGACCCATCACATGACGTGATTTTTAAACTGCCCTAAACCAGACAGGTTACTCAAGGGAGCTAAGGGGAGCCGGGCTCCCCTCAAAGTGGGATGGGTGTGACGGGGACTTGTTTGGGTTTGCAAGCATAAATCTCCCCCAGAAGTCTGTGTGCAATCAGCAGAGGTGTGGACTCGAGTCACATGACTTGGACTCGAGTCAGACTTAAGTTATTATATAATGCCTCCTGACTTGACTTGATAAAATCTATAAAGACTTACAACTTGACTCGGATTTGAACGCCAATGTCTTGCGACTTGAATCGACTTGCATCTGTTGACTTGATGATGACTTGAACATATTTGATATTTTAGCACAAAAGTGGCTCAACGTGGACAAAAATCATGACTCATGCTTGGTTCTGGGTGTGATGTTGTACTGCCAAAGGCTGCAGCACTTGTTTAGAATCAGTTTCAGCTGTTTGAGCAAATAAACAAAGCTTTAATAAACTTTATTTCTGGAATTTATTTATTATTGTCATTAAATAAAAGTTTGACAGATGACTTGATTATGACTTGAAAATTCAAAGTTAAGGACTTGACTTGGACTTCCACATCATTGACTTTGGACTCGACTTGGACTTGACTGGAAAGACTTGTGACTTGCAAAGCAGTGACATGGTCACACCTCTTTGTAGCCTGGACTCGTATCATATGTATTTATATTGTATGAAAACAGCTGATGTCATTCTGATAGTTTACATTTAAATAACTCCCGCATAAATCCAGACTGGGACAGTGCCTCTGAATCGTGTACATAAACTGGTCTATGCATCTGTTTCTTCGTGCCTAATCTGTTAAAGTTTATCAGTTTGTGTTTTCAGTAATCTAAAGATGCCAGCAGAGAACATGGGAGTTCTGGGAAATATTTTAATGACAGCTTCATCTGTTTAAAAGGTGAAAAGATGCTGAGGTGCTAAAATAAAAACGACTGCTTCAAAGTAATGATCCTTCTGTGAGAAGTCTTTTAGGGCGAAACATCAAATGACTAAAACAACTCAAGAGTCTTGTGCTCAGATTTACTACTATCATTAAATGTACACATAAAACCAGTAACCTACCAACAACCAGATGTCAGTTTTGTGCTACAAGCTGCAGGAAAGGGGTCACATAAACCGCAAAAGCATCATGAAAAGTGGAAGTGAGCTGCGACTTTTACACTCAGCCTGCATCAAAACCAGTTAAATGATGAAATTACAAACAGAAAAAAAGATTTTAAAATATCGACATTGTTTTATTACGTGTTATTAGGATTTTAGCATTGAATTTGGATAATTTAGTTATCCAAAAATAAAAAAAACAACAACAAAAGGCTGTGCAGTGGCACAGTGGTTAGAGCTGTTGCCTTGCAGCAAGAAGGTCCTGGGTTCGCTTCCCAGCCTGGGATCTTTCTGCATGGAGTTTCCATGTTCTCCCTGTGCATGCGTAGGTTCTCACCGGGTCCTCCGGCTTCCTCCCACAGTCCAAAAACATGACTGTTAGGTTGATTGGTCTGTCTAAATTGGCCTTGTGAGTGTGTGTGTGCGCGCGTGCATGATTGTTTATCCTGTGTGTCTCTGTGTTGCCCTGCGATGGACTGGCTCTCTGTCCAGGATGTACCCTGCCTTATTGCCCGTTAATAGGCACCGACCCCACGTGGACAAAGCGGGTTCAGAAAATGGATGGATGGATAGTTATCCAAAAAAGCTAGGTGGGTCACGTGACTTCCTATCAGCGGCTTCCTGTGGTGATGCTTTCACGAACCTTCTGGTGTGGTTTTTTTCCCACATGTTTTTAAAGAAATAAAAAATAAAACCTTTACATTTTAACAGTATCAATATTATGCGTGTTAAGATAATTAAATATTTTGTTAATCACTACTGTGTCTGCTTTAATTTCCGTTCCTAGTGTGGGAGCATTGTAGGGGTATCGAGATTTCCCGGTGGTCCATGAAGGCAGCGCGGGCAGAACAACGGTTCACCGGGCGGTCGGACGCTTTTCTACCGGATAGTATACAGTGAGAATGTTTCTAAGCTATCGTTAAAACGTCCAGTAAAGGTTTCACAGTTTTTACTTTGTGTTTGTCTGTACGGCGATGCTAATACTAGCTCGCTAGCGGTGTTCCGTCGTGGCGAGTAGGCGGGTTTATTTCTTTTTGTTTTAAACCGTATTTGTGTTTACAGGATCATGTTTGAGAGTGAGCCGCGTTTGTTAGGCGGACCTCTGAGACACACCGGTGCCACTAAACGTCCGTTGCGTTAAAGAAAATGAAAGCGGAGGGTTTTTAGAGGGGAGTGTGTCCCGACATGACCAGGCTGGTCTGGATGCTACTGGTTCTGCTGCCAGGTGAGTTCACCATCCTGGTTTACCTGAAAGCCTAACTATTGGTAGTCCCCCTCAGGGCCGGTGCCCAAAGCGAGACTGCCCATGTGCCCCCCCCCCCCCCCCCCCCCCTGCCTGCATGCCCCTCACCCAAACCCAAGTCCACCCACTCACCACACATTGGAAAAAGCAACTCCACCGTTATTCCTTAGTTACTAATTTTTTATTTTAAATATTCACACAGCAACTCTTTAAAGTCAACAGCCTGAAGAATAAATGTAAGCTTGAAAGATGAGTAACCTGAGAATATTACAATAACCAACAACTCAAAATGTTGTGCAAATGTCATTGGGGGGATGCAAAAGCAGCATTAAACTGTGCAATCAAAAGCAAAACTCAAATATCAAAGTGTTATCATAAAGAAAGTTCTACTTTCCATTTTGTTCAACTGCTGTGGCCAGTCAGCAGGATCCATGGGGCCAGCAGCTCGTACATGTTCACAGACATCTGTTGAAGCTGATGATGGTGTCTCTTCAGGCTGTTGGATTGAGCACTGAGTCTGCTGGTGTTGGGTTCTTCTTCTGTGAGAAAATAAACACACACACAAAGCAACTTAACCCTCTGATGCATGAATTACTTAAGAACAGTGCCGCCTGCCCGATGTGTCAGGACAAAGTTGAAAATTTGCTACACCCACACCTAACGTTCTTCTGATATGAAAATATTAAATTCATATTGTATGCATACTTAAAACTTGTAACAAAGTTCATAAAAAGGCTGCAATCATACTCCAAAAAACGGTAAAATATCTTACATTCTTCATCATCACAGTGAGACTCAACAGGTGTAGAAGAAAGTCCCGCCCCCGTGGTGTCAACAGGTGCCTGTCGACAGGCTGCAGATATTGTCTCACTGCATCTGGACACGACGATTCAAAAGTAAAATTAATTGGTTAAAGTTGTGAGATACTGTATTGTGTATGTAAACAGCTAGCGAGGGTCCGTCCGTGGACCGTGCATGGCAGGAGAGGCAGTTAGCTAAAATTGTAACACAAAAAGTTCCTTTGCCAAATTTATAGAGTCTACATACCTCTGCTTTGGGCCCGGTTTTTTTCTTCCTCCTTCCTTCGCTTTCGGAATGCTGATCCCGATGGCTTAGGTGTTCTTTTCATCGTAAAATATCAAAAGTTTAAACGCGACGACAACAGGATGTCCTTCTACATCGCTACCCACGCACGTGATCTACGGCACCCCTGACGGTCAAATGCATCAGAGCGTTGGCCCAAGCGGGAGCTCGTCATGCAGCCAGATCATTAGAATTTAAATATTGATGTTTTAATTTCATGTCATTTCAAAGGGGAATTTCAAGTATGTAGAGAGTGCATTTCATATAACAAACATAAATTTAATAAACTTTATTATTTTTATTCTTTTTTTTTGTAATTTTGCGCCCTATCCATCAGATGGCGCCCCAGGCGGCCGCCTGTGTCGCCTGTCGGCAAAGCCGGCCCTGGTCCCTCTTCTGGGACATGAATATGTTGGTCTGAAGTTGTGCTTCAAACCACCCAGGTTAGTGTTGGTTACTAGTAAACTAGTAGGTAGGGTTAGCAGAAGCAGGGAGGGTTATAACAGCTCCACCAGGAGTTTTACCAACACCACCTCCAGGGATGGACTGAGAGAAATCAGCTAGTTTGGGTAAACTTCTGCACTTCGGTGCCATCCCTCCTAACCTCAAGCTTACCTGTCATGACCTTTAACCTGCCAATTGAAGCCTATAGAGCCTGAGATTTTGTCATTTTTCTCATTGTTAACCATTGATCCCTCCCAGATTGATGGACAGGTGTGAACATCTCTCTGTGACCAGGGGTCTCATTTATAAAGCTTGCTTACGCACAAACGGAGTCGGAAAACTGCGTAAGCAACTTTCCACGCAAACTGGGATTTTTTTTTCGGCTCTTGGAGGGTGCTGACTCTTTTTTTCCTCCTCTCCTCCATATCTTATCCTCAGGCCCTTTGTCTGTCTGTGTGTGCTGGGTGCACGGCTGCTTCTGCATTTTTTCTGGAAACTGAAATCACTAAAATGGATCTCGTAAGTTGGTCACTCAACACGATTGATAAAAATTTTTTCAACGATGAGAACGGGAGAAGGGGCTCCCGGATGCCCCTCTGGGACAGACCCAGTAGGAAACAGTGGAACTTGATTTGTTTATCTCAGCTGTCTGTGGAGGACTCTGAAGACGTGTGGACATTCGTGGTGTTGGTGTCAGGTTTCCTGCTCATTGGCCTTGGAGGCTTCCTGGCTTACCGTAAAATTAACGAGCTGTCGAGGAATATTGGCCTGATCCCCAAGCTCAGAGATGGTTTGCACCGTGCTGTGAATTCACAGACTCACATAATTGTCGAGATGAATCGTAAGCTTGGGACTTTGGCCGAGATTCATTCTTTGGCACAAAAGATGGATGCAATCAAGGATAGAGTGGACGAATCAGCACGGATTGGGATAGATTAATGTCCATTATTGGGATTTTGAGAGGTTGAGGACCAAGGAACTTTAAGACAGAGAGGAAATTATCTCTGCCTGGCCCCATAACAGTTTCTAATCGGAATCTGGCGTTCTTGAGCCTGCAAGGCTCCAACAAATACTCCCCCCTCAGAAGATATGTGGAATTTGCCGTCGCTATGGCAACTCAACTCTGTCTCCTATCCCAGCCTGGGCGGGATTGCGGGAAGGCCGCCGAATCGTTCCAGGGTCACTGCAACCCTCCAACCCTCAATGCTCCTCCCCCTATTCAGACTGAGGTGACATGCGTTGCTTGTAGTGGCTGCAGGAACCGAAGTGTGGATAGTCCCAAACCTACCACCCCACCTAGTGGACACTTATGTTGTGTGATGTCTGAAGTCTGTTGCATATCTGTCTGAGGTGGGGTTTTTTTTTCGCAGAGCAAAGCTGCCCTCCTGGTGAAGGGTAACTCTGAAGTGCCTTTTTTTCCCCCTCCACCTGAACCAATCCTCATGTAACCCTCTTATCTCTATTAAGGTAGCGCGACTCGGGTTGTGAATGACCACAGTCACCAATTCTTGTCATGTGTCTTGCCCATGTATGTCTGATCTCAGAATTGTGTGTACTGAAACTCTAATTTCCCTCTGAGATTAATAAAGTATCTTTGAATTTGAATTTTTAAAAGACTTAGCGGGAAAAATTTGCACAACTTTAAATGAACGGACTTGGCTTACGCACATTTTGGACATGGAGAGCACCTGCAGTGCTGCTGCTGAGAAGGATATGATTATGAATCCCAGCAGCATTATCACTTGACAAATGATAAATTAATCACACTTGTAAAGCGCCTTTCTGAGCCAGACGACTCCAAAGTGCTTTACACTACTGTGCATCATTCACCCATTCACACGCTGATGGTGATGAGCTACAATGTAGCCACAGCTGCCCTGGGGCGCACTGACAGTAGCCCCGGTTGTGGTAAATCTGTGGTTGGAATAATCACATTTTAGGTCCTGTCTGTGTTTCCATGGTAACCTATGCTGTAAACCATGTTCTCAGGTCAGAACAGAACCTTCCGACCCAACAGGTGAACCCGACCTAGGAGATGGACAGATAAGTGTGTGTGTTCTCAGAATGAAACAGTTCTTTCATTTTTTTTCCTCTGGCATTCTGAGAAAACATACATCCTTATGACTTTGTAAGTTTAATAACAGAAACACAAACGAGTCTCTCATGTTCATATCAGTCTGCCAAACTCATTTAATCCCGAGTAATAAAAGCCCTGTTAGCAGCTGGAGGACAGAAAAGGTTGCTCACACTTTAGTCTGCTAGAAGACTTCCACGCCAGTCGTTTCACTGAATGGTAAATGGTCTGTACTTGATTGCACCTTCTAGAGTCCAGGGGTCTCATTTATTAAACATTGCGTAGAATCCTTACTAAAACCGTACTTAAGCTCAGCAAAAAATAAAAAAAGTACTTACGCCAAGTAGGTTTGTGATCTATCAAACATGGAGTACACACAGCTGCACGCAATCGCCGCTTCATAAATCAGACACAAACGAGAATGTTTCTCAGCTGCATTTTAGTCACATCCCGCCCTCACCACGTCCACTTACTGCCATCAATAGTCAATGCAAAGTGCCTTGTGGACCTCATGTATATACATAAGCCGGCTGTTGCAGCGCTCCACCAATGACATGGCGACCATAGATCAAGGCAGACCAAGGAAGCGCTATTTCACAGAAGCAGAAGTTGAGGTACCTGTGGGTGAGGTGGAGAAATGAAAGGAAGTGCTTTTGCAAAACAAATAAGAGTAAATCCACGGAGTGGCACAGCGTTGCTGAAGCCGTCAATGCTGTGAATTCTTCAGAGAGATCTGTGGCGGATATAAAAACAATGGTCCAATCGGGATTCAATCCCCAGACTCCTGGGTGAAAGTCATGTGCACTAACCAGTCACCCAAACGGAGATCTCCCATGTACAAGTAGCCAGGGTGCATGATCAATCGGGTCACAGTGACAGGACACACACACTGTCACAGATGCATGACGTTCTGTCTCAATCTGTCCCCCTGCTGATATTCTGCATTCCGTATTCTGCGCTTCAGGCTGTGTGTGTGTGTGCGTGCGCACGGGCATGTGTGAGTGTGCGCACGTGCATGTAGGGGGGTCTTGTTCTGTGTGAAAACAAAGCAGTACAAGTGATGATGCTGCAGGATTTCATAATTTTATCCTTCTCAGCAGCAGCACTGCAGGTGCTCTCCGTGTCCATAATGTACATAAGCCAGGTCCTTAGTGGATAAATGTGCGCAACTTTAAGTTGACTAAGTTTTCTTTCATAAATCCCAAAGTTTGAGTGGAAAGTTGCTTACGCAGTTTTCCGACCCCGTTTTGTGTGTAAGCAAGCTTGATAAATGAGGCCCCTGCAACCCCCCAATGCACTTTATAACACACTCAATCATTCACCCCCTGGTGGTGATGAGCTACACCAGAGGTGTCAAACTCAAATTCACACTGGGCCGAAATGAGTTAGTTGAAAAAGTTTCTCTTTCAGTCGTGAACACATTACTGAGCGGTTAAAATCTCAGTTTCTGGCCTTCAACGTCGGCAAATAGCTGAGTAAACTCAGCGCTGAGTGAGAGGAGTGTTTAGTTTGTCCGAGACAGGAGCTGCAGACGCTGGAAAAAACACAGAGGAGGGGGCGGGCACTTCGGCTCCACGCTAATGCCACAAAGCATCATGGGAGTTGTAGTCGTTGCGGTAAAATGGCCAGCGGGTCAGTTTTAATATATTTTTGATATTTATCTCGCGGGCCACATAAAAATGCTCCGCGGGCCTTGTGTCTGACACGTGTGAGCTACACTGTAGCCACAGCTGCCCTGAGGCGCTCTTGACAGAGGCGAGGCTGCTGTACACAGGCGCCACCGGTCCCTCCGACCACCACCAGCAGGTAAGGCGGGTTAAGTGTCTTGCCCAAGGACACAATGACAGACTGAGCGGAGCTCAAACCTGCAACCTTCTGATTATGGGGGAGCACTTAACTCTTATGCCTCCGTTGCCCACCTGAGCAGGTCCAGGTCAGTTCTGTCCCTAGTTTGTATGAAGTTTGCTTTGTGTTGCGATTGTTGCAGGTGACCAAGCGCTCCCACAGCCCTTCAACATCAGCCTGACCCAGGGCTCTTCTGGTTTCACCCTCACATGGGAGTCTGGACCAGGGACACCTCCAGGAACGTCCTACAATGTCACCAGTCAGACAGAAAGGTGAGTTTTTACCTGTGAGACTCCTGCTGCAGGCTGTTTTGTTTCCTTGATCACAGACGTGTCCCTGCTCTGGACCATGTCCCTGGTCTGCATCGTGTCCCCGCTCTAATAATAATATAATACATTTCATTTGTAAGCGCCTTTGTTATGGCCCAGGGCCATTTTGGGTTTTTGTGTGTGTGTGTGTGCGCGCGTGTCAGGAAATGCTCTGCCAGTAACATAAAAATCAGCCAGCCCTCATTCCAGGGAGCAGCAGAGGGAGAACCTCTGGCCTGCTGTCTCTTCAGCAGGATTTAGTTCTGTTAAATTAAGGTGCTTTGAGAAGCCCTCTGTGTTTAACTCTGCAGCCATTTTCAGTGTGAAGAAAGCTTTACACTTCGCTTTGGTTAAATAACACATCTCTTGTTTAAAGGGTGATCTTTTGAAATGTGTGGAGTAATTTAGTTAAAGAGAGAGTTTAGTTAGTTGTTATTGTTGAGTTGCTTCTGATGTGTCCTTTTGTTGATAACCTGTGTTTTTTTATGTAAATAAATGTTGTTTTACCCTTTTACTACCTACGTCATCAAAAGTTGCGCGCGCAGCCTGGCAACGAGAGTGAAGGCTTCCTCATTCACACTCGATACTAAAACAGCGTTTTAAACCCTTTGTTTTGAAGTTCTGAGCACATAAAAATGCCGGGTTGTTGCGTGTATGGATGCCAGGATCGCTTCTCTTCAAGCAGTGGACTGAAACTTTACAGAATTCCGAAGGGAGCACATCCATTTCAACAAAATCGGAGGCGCCTGTGGCTGCAGGCCATCAAAAGGGTTGATGAAAACTGGACTGAAAACACGATCCGAAATGCTCGAGTTTGTAGCGCCCATTTTATATCAGGTAAGGTAATTATGTACTAAGATTGCACCAGAAAGCTGGTTAACGTGTGTTCTATTAAATAAAGTAAGTTGCATTTGCTGGTTTGCTTTTAAGCAGTCTATTTATTTTTTTAATTAACATTTCATTCTAATTCATCTGTATTTTCCCACTGCATATTAGTATAAACTGTATTTCTCTGAAATTAACACGATTGTACTCTGAGCACGCTAAAACAAGAAACCTATGCTATACTCACCCTGCCATGCAGGTACAGTTGGCTGTGAAGACGTAGTTCTCTGGTTTGTTTACTATGACCCAAGCCTCGTACATAGCAGTCTTGTGTCCTTGTCTTTGGCTAGGAAGGACTTCTGCCTTCAGGACGCAAAACTCAGAGTCTATGTCGTGATATTTTAATTTCTGTACGTGGCCACAGACAACATAGTTGTATGCATCTAACGCTTTGTTTGCCCGTAGCTTCTCACGTGTGTACTTACTGGGCCTCTCCACTAAAAACGTATATATATCGGGCCACTGGATATCTGGCCACGCACCTACATCTTCCACCCATTCCGTAATGCCACAGGGATCCGGGAGTCTGTTGCCATTCGTTAAAGTGAGTTTAATAATATAACATTCAAGATTTGCCGGTGATAACCCCGCAGCGTAGCTTGATAAAGCCTGACACAACGCCATTCTCTGTTGCCAAGCTGCGCGCGCATTCTCGCTGACGTCATATTGTTTACAAACAGTAAAAGGGTCTATTTTAACACGAGAACATGCATCCTCAATTGTTACCCCAGGCCCCCTAGACAGCCTGGATCGTAACAGCCGTTCAAGACTATTAAGGTCTTTGAACGTAAAACCTGAACTTAAGTACCACAGGTTAAAAGCAAAGCAACTGGAGATGAGAGCGATACGCGTCAACAGCTCAGCAACACATAACGAAGAGGAGCAGGTTAAAAAGTAAGAGCAGATATAACAACACGTTAAACGACAAAATGTCAGGTAGAACATTCACGCCTGAATGAATGAGTTTTAAGTAGCCATCTGAAAGTTTGGATAGATGAAGCTGTACGAATACCCAGAGGTGCAGCTGAACCAGTGACCTGTGTCCCATGGTAGACAGACGGTGCATGGAATGGTGAGGAGACCGTTGAAGAACGAAGAGTGCAAGTCGGCGTGTAGACGTGGAGCAGATGAGTGAGATATGGAGGAGCTTTGAATGTTAGCAAAAGGACTTTGACTCAGCACGGAAGTAGAGCCCTGCACGGGCCTAAAATCTGAGCCCCTGTCCGGCCCGGCCCGAGGGGGTGGAGCCCCAGCCCGACCCGGTCCGAAAAGGTTTTCAGGATTCTCTGGCCCGACCCCGACTTTTTTTAGCCTTTCATAGTGTTTTAGCGTGATCTGTGAGAAGCGTTCTGCAGTAAGAAAAGAAAGAAAAGAAAGAAAAGAAAGAAAAACAGCATCAATGCAGCTTTTTTTTTCTAACAGAGCGTATTTTCCGAGCGGCAGGTGAAATTTACGAACGCTATATTAATTGGATGCGTTTGTAAATTTAATCTGCTCTGAAAATGCGCTCTTGTGCAATTAGAAAAAAAAGCAGCATTCTAGTTTTCTAACTGCAGAGCGCATTTTCAGAGCGGCAGATTAAATAAACTCCCCCAATTATTATAGTGTTTGTAAATTTAATCTGCCGCTCTGAAAATGCGCTCTCCAGTTAGAAAACAACCAGCAATGAATGCTGTATTTTTTTAACTGCAGAGCGAATTTACTCACAGAAAAACAGAATGCTGCCATTTTCATGAGAATAAACGAATGGTTTCTGACATCAAAGTGGACATAAAATGGCATATTAGAATAGAGGCACATGTTTCAATCAGCAGTTTGAGAATTCGTTTATAGGTGCATTTATAAACCACACACACCTTAACTGAGCTAACGGGTGTCGGTGCGTGAGAAGCAGGCAGGTGCTGCTGCATTTAAGTGTTTCCATTTTTTTTAATGAATTCGATTAAAAATAAAGGCGCCCGGCCCGTGTCCGAGGTGATTACACAGTCGTCGGCCCGAAGCCCGGCCCTCAGTTCGGGCTGACCCCCCGGCCGAGGGCTCCAGTGCAGGGCTCTAATTGGAAGCCAGTGCAGCTGCTTGAGAACCAGTGTGAAGACGGTGTTCTGGAGACGATAAGCATGAAGGCATGCTCTGGACCATGTCTCAGGTCCTAAAAAGCCATACTTTAGAGCAGATCTTCCTGACCCCCTGTCCACCTCCTTGTCTTTATGTAGTGGTGTCTCTCCGAGTCCAGTAAAGGGCTGCCAACATGTCCAGAAACCTCTGACCTGTCTCCTGCCTTATGAATCCATCGACCCACTGGAGAGATACATCATCCAGATCACATCTTACCTGGAGGCTCAGATGTCTCAGCCAGCAGAGATCCAGTTCAAAGCTGTTGGTGAGTAGCTTGATGCAGACACCTGTAGAGTAGTTACAGGTATCTTTCTGTCCAGTAACAAGTTCGTGTTGGGTTTCCAGACCTTCTGGACCTGCCCCAGCTGACCCCTGTGTCCTGTGGGAGAAATTTGTGTGTGGACCTGATGCCGCCATTCCAAAATCTTCAGGAGACCTATGACCAGCTTAATTACCAGCTTCAGATCAGTAGCAACAGCAGTGGAGGACCACAGGTATGATCCGTGATTCTGTTTTATCCACTTTATACCTGGGAGGGCAGGTTGCAACTAGAGGCTGGCCGATATCTTCAGTTTTTTCTACATCAGCCATCGGGCACCTGTGTGGCCAACTGCTGCCACTACTAGACAGAAGAAAGGACCTGAAGGACCCCAACACGTAGTTTTTTTTTAATATTTTGAGTTTTTTCATTTGATGTTCGATAAATATTAAGAGATTTATTGACTTATATAATTTATATTGCATACAGTGAGTGTTCAGTTGTCTTTCACTACCAATGTGCTGCTAAAACGTGTGTGTGTGTGTGTGTGTGTATATATATATATATATATATATATATATATATATATATGTGTGTGTGTATATATATGTGTATATATATATATAGATGTGTGTGTAGAGAAGATGTTCCTACATTTAATTAGAAACCATAAAATATGAAATATCACCTTAATGGATCTTTAAGTAAATTTAATCAGAAGATCGGATCTTTTTATTGCGGGGATTGAGCAACGCTTTGTATTAACTCCAAGAAAGAGAGAGAGTCAGGTTTAAAAAGTTAAAAGATTTATTTCCAAACAAATTAAACAAGACTAACTTTAAACACTAGGTGTCTGGTGTAACTAAGGTGAGGTAAGACTGAGAATGGTGTATGTGTGAATATGTTCTGAACCAGCAGATCCGGAGAAATGATTAGTTCTGATGGGAGTGAAGATTATGTTTTGCGCTAAGCTTGGTTTTGGAGATTCATAACACACATTGAGACGCCATTCTGCCGGCCTACGTACCCTTTGCGGAAGTCCCCGTCAGGAATGTCGAGGTCCAGCTTGACCTTTTCTGGAACCGAAGCCGGTAGGCAAAGCAGCGGTTGCCGACTAGACCAGTCTTGAGATACTTCCGGGTCACGACAGTTTTATTGGCATCTAGCGAGACCCAAAAGGGGTCAAGGGTTCAGCTTTTATTCTGAAAGGAACCGTTGCAGCAGGCGGAACAGCAACAGATTTTATCCAGCTTGTCGTCAGGTTCTTTCGGCTGAAGAGGAAAGTTACGGATTGGCCACTGACAACTTCTCTAGAAAGCTTTGAACTGTCGTTAAAGATGACGTGGGCATAGTTTTATACTTCGGATGTTTTGGTTTATGGTCAAATGAAAAGGTGACAGATTTACCAAACACCACCAAAACCACACCTCCGTCAGATCTGGCAGATTCTGATTGGATCAATAAAAGCAATGTGTCATGTCTTAACGCTACGTGAGATCAGTCCCTACATAGTGGAAACATTTAAAGTCATATTACTTTTTATATTCTATAGGATTATAATAAAGTAATTAATATTTTGATTTCACAAATTGGTTCACATTTTATTGTTGACTAACACTTTGTTTGATTAGCTTATTAAAAATAGAGTTCTTTGATTTATTAAAGGGACTTTACAGAGTTTTTAATTTTTAAGCTCGCGATTGCCCCCTCAGGCCAAAAGCGTAACAGCAGCTTCAATAGTAGGCTTGTGCACAAGACGCGCATGCTGTACGTGCACACTCCTTAACGAAAATAACAGCTGAGACAGTCAGCTCCGTGTGTGTGTGTGTGGCCTGGAGGACAGAGGACAGGAGAACGCGCAGCTAATTAATTAAATAATTTGGTTCTGTACCGACAAAGGTTTAAGATGGGTCAGTCCTCCTGCATGCTCAGATCATTCCCTTCCCTTGCTTGAAAAATTGTTCCAAAATGAAAGTTGAACCCACATCTTTTTTATCTGTGAATTCAATGCCGTTTGGCAAGTCTCAAATAAAAATTTGGGCATCTTACTGTAAAAAAAAATATACCATTAAATAAACTCTGAATAAACGATGTTCACATCCAGAATCGAACCCAGGTCTTCTGCACGAGAGTCCGACGCCTTACTAGGCGAGCTAATGCGCCAGTGACATCATTTGTAGCTGTATATTTTATATCGTTGATCACAGCTGAAACAACGTTCAAAGAACGGTTTGGAGGGCTATACCTGAGCGTGAACGCGCATGAAGCCGCCTGCTCGACCCAAGCAGCTCTTTTTCTGTGATTTTATAGAATGACAGGCAATCACAGTAAAAATTCCAGGGCTTATTCTACAGGACCAGGGCATTGCAGGAGAAAGTATTAAGAAATTTATTATTTCTATACATGTTTTGGCTGTCACACTTCCATAATGCCCCTTTAAAAAGAGAGAGTCCTTTTGTCTTCATTCTCCTCTTGGCCTGGAAAGGAAAACAGTTTAGAGCAAATGCATGAGACCTTGAGGCAATATCTCATGCAGATTATTTCAGTGTCAGAGGAGAGGGGGGAAAGGACTTTTAGGTGGAAAACAGTCATTTCATTCCGTTACTATATATATATATATATATATATATATATATATATATATATATATATATATACATATATATATATACATATATATACATATATATACATATATACATATATATATCAGACATTGTGGCTCAAAACCAATGGCTCTGTTTTTGATTGGTTCCCCAGCTGTTAAGGCTTTCTCATTTACTTTTCAAGTCTTTTTTATTTTTTTCCTTCCACTGAATTTTCTACTCCTTTTGACGTCAGGTTTTTTTCTAGTTGTTATTCTTTCCCTTTTAGGTTTCTTTCTTCTTCTTTTAAATTATTTTCATTTATAGTTCCTCTGCTGTACTCTGCTCCCACTCACAGCTCCTCCTCATAACTAGTCCTCTGTCATCTCTCACTCGTCAGCGTATACGGTTCAGTTTCAGTCATACTCTGCTGGTTTCAGCGTCCTAGCTACCTGATTTTTGGCATTAAAATACTTTTGAGTTTTACACTTTTGTGTTTTGGATCCTTTCCAAAGCCGACAGTATTAGGAAAATAAAAATAAGATACGTTAAATGACTAGTATGTGGCAATATATAAGCCTTATATGAAATATTAGACTGAAAAAATACAATAGATTTATTCTATTGTAGAGAGGAATGTTTATTTTCTCGTTGTTTTGCTGCCCCTCCTCCTCTCCCAGCTAGGGAGAGGAGGAGGGACTCCCTGCTATCACAGCGCTTCATTGCCTTGCTGCCAACCCTCCGTACCCGGCAGCGACAACGGTCGTGTGAGTTTGAAAAGTCTGCTGAAGAAGAGCGGATGAAATTGTCTGAGAATATTCCAGAATGTCTACCAGAAAAAGGCCAATGTTACTTACTTACTGCCCTGCATGACTAAAGGGGAAGCAGCGTGAGCTCTGCATAGAGCGTAATGCTGCGGCAATTTTTATTTTTATTTTTATTTTTTCAGGTTAACTTTTCAATACGAGGCCACGAGGCACACAGTAAACTTAGGAAGGATGTTGAGGGGAAACATAATTTTGCAATTGCTTATTTTACCGTTCAACTTACCACTGACACAACAAATATTCTTAAAACTGAAGACTTACCTCCTACTTCCTCATCACCGTCGTCTCTGCTTGACTGAATTGCTTCTGCTGCTCTGCTGCATGTGTGCTGTGACGGTGGCTCCACCCCCCGAGGAGAGGAGCCACACAACATGAGTTCATAAAGGTGGCGCCATCTGCTTGATAGGTAGCACAATATCGGCTATATCGGCCGTCTTTTTGGCCGATGGCCGATAGCCGATAGTGTTAATGACCCCAATATCGGCCGGCCGATATATCAGTCGGGCCCTAGTTTTTAACGAACATTCTCACAACGAAGATGAAGATACTACAAGTAAAGTACTAGATAAATGTTACGAGAAATACTTTGAACTTAAGTCCAAAATGTAAAAGCAGGAATGACATTAATTTTAAACGAGGTTATTTTTGCTTCGGACATGAAGGTGTTTCGAGTTACCTTGACATGTTTTGACCGTCGTCTGCGGTCTTCATCAGAAATGTCCCAGATGTTTGTGTGACGCGTCTTTATCAGCTGTTCTTTTCTGATGAAGACCGCAGACGACGGTCGAAACATGTCAAGGTAACTTAAAACACCTTTATGTCCGAAGCGAAAAGAATCTTGCTTAATGTTAAAAAAGAGGACATAATGAACATTGTAAAGGATTTACAAGAAAGTTTTGGAAAATGTGGAGTCAAGGCTTTTCGCTGCTTGGAGAGGCTAGAAAAAACACGGGCCCATTTCCGGAACCATCTAGTATTCAACCTGCGATGCCGAGATGAGAACATCACACCCAAGAGCATAAACATCAAGAACCCGATCCCAACAAACAATGCCAAAAAATCATGGAAAGAACAAAGAAAGGATACGATGCATGGCCAACAAACTGGACAAGATCAACACGCAAATCCAGGATCAGAAAAAAAACTTCACGGAACTATTTCCTAGCCCGGACGAGACACAGACAGCCATCAACATACACCTGAAAAACACACACGAAGAGGAATATATAAAAACAAAAACCCGACAAATAAAGAAACTTGAAAACCTCATAAACATGAAAAAAGGAATGAAAAGACAAGAGACGACAAACAACAAATTGGTATGTAACCTGTCAGCTCACGCATTAACAGAAACTGAACAGAAAGTCTTAAATCGAGTTTTAAACTATGCAGTCACACCCAAACAAATACCAAAAGAGGAGTTCATTTTAGCTGCAGAAATAGCATGTAAAAAAATAAAAGAAGAGGGGAAAAAAGCAGAGCTAAGAAATGATGTTGCAGGCATTTTGAAGGCCGCAAAATTACATCAAAGTAACATCACAAGAGAAGATCAAAAAGCCATAAATGCTCTAAAAAAGACACATCAGTAACAATCCTACCAGCTGACAAAGGGAGAACCACAGTAATAATTGGCACGGAAACATATGAACAGAAGATGCAAACAATGTTAAAGGCATCAACATATGTACTGGACAATTCGTGTCCATAGGCTCCAATTATAAGTTTTTGTGCCAAAATGGGAGGTGGCCACCACCGCCATTTTACCCGTGTCACAGGTTCCGCCAAGCCCAGACAATTCCAAAAAAGGGAAAAGAGGTGGAGCTGAGGGTGGTGCTGTAAGGCTGGGATCAAATGACGACACCCGTCGAACTGAAGCGATGTAGCTACAAACTAACCCAAAGCTAACTCGAAGGTGGGAGCTAGGCTAACGGAGGTAGCTACCTAACTACAACCGGAGTTACCGTAAATCCTCTAATACAGGCCCGGGCCTGTATTTGACTCAAGCTCATCAAGCTCCAGGCCTTTATTGGAAGGAGGGCCAGAATTAGAGGCAGGCCTCTATTTCTATTTGAGCAAAATGAACTAATGGTTCGCTGGAGTTTTTGACAATTAAAATTGCGCTCACATTTTCAAAGTTAAACACATTTAACAGATGCACAGCAAATGTTTTATTTGTGGACGGAAATGACAGGAAATGTGGGTTTAGAGGTGGCAAGCGCATGAAGAGGTGGAGGAGGATGAGAGACAAATTTGTCTGTTAAAAAGTCTCTTGTATACAAAAAAACAATATAAACACACAATCTTTGACCGGATACATAACAGGATACCACAGAACAGCGCTACGCCCTCTGTTGTCCTGGTGGGGAATTGCTTTGCAACACTCCCCAGGAGACGGAGATGTGTGAGGGCAAAACATCTCTGTCCGTGCGTGCGTGTCTCTCCCTTTTTGAGCTGACGGAGAAGCATGAATCAGGCTTTAGGGGAAATGCGTAACGCACCCTTACGGAGTCGCATAGACCACTGAACATGGTAGGAGGATGGCACCCAAAAGAAACTATCTGTTTGGAGCAGAGAAAAGAAAGACAAAGAAACTGAAGGAAGAGAAAAACAAAACAAAGGTACGTTTTCAAGCCCAATAATCTATTTTTTTTTTTTTTTTTTTGGTCATGATTAACCAGGCCGTTGGTTCAGTTTATCAGTTTGGTTAGCTAACTGGCTAGCTTTGCAGCCAAGTGAGTGCTAATATTGTGAGCTACTGTAGAAAAAACATCTGTTAAAATATTGACAATAGACATCGGTTCAAAATGATCCGGTGAACAGTTAAGTATTGAATTTTACTCATGGCCTGTATGATATGAAAACTTAAGCTGTAGCCAAGCAGGTTGTAATGTGGAACTATTACATCCCTCAGCTCGCTAGGAGTTATGTTTGGTGAGGGAGCAATAAAGTTTGTGTGTGGGTTTAATACTAAAGCAGTAAATGTGTCCAACAAAGGATTTTTATTAAACAAAACAAAGAGCTGGTATATAGATAAGGAAAAACGGACTAACAAAAAGCGCCAAGCCAAAAGGGTTTGGGAAGAGGGAAACTAGTTAACTGAAATACTCTTAAGCCCCCTTCAGACAGGCCATGAAAAACGGAAATGTTCCGGAATCTGTCCGTAAGACCTTTCTGTCTGAATACAAACATCCGGATAATGTGTTCCGGAATTTATCCGGACGAAGCCCCTAGTAACAGGTCCAGACTTGTTACGGACAGGGTGGCTGATTCAGACTGGTGAGGTAAAGTTCTGGACAAGAGGGAGGGGGAGGAGGGGGGGACCGGGGGACGCTGTGCGCACCTATATAGCCCGCTGCTGTAGCATGCGGCGAACCACGGCAGCTCGCCTCCTACGGTACCGCCTAGACGCGCGACGGAGCGCTTCACACCGCTTCAGTGATTCCTTTAACCATTGAGCTTCATCATCCAGGTCTCTTATGCGTCTTCGTGTGCGCAGAATTATGCTTAAGCGCCTCGTGATTTTTATCTTGAGAGGCGCTATAGAAACGATATTTTCTTCTTCTTCTTCTTAACATAAGTCCGATTCTCCCCACCCCCACTCCACCCCCCCGCTGCCGTCAGACATCTGGAACTTTTCCCTGCTGTGTGAACGCAGCCGAAAGGACAAGTTCCGGTACAAAAGTGGTGTGTCTGAAAACACAGTTCCGGTTAAAAACCGGATTGAATTGTCCGCAAATGTTCCAGAATGTCTATCTGAAAAGGGCTTTACGATAATCCTAAACAAAACGGGAGCCGTCCTGAAAAGCAGTGACGCTCGGGCAAAGACAGTCGAAGTCGGGGCCGGTCTAAGGTCTATCCAAAAGTCAATCCGAATCTAAGTTTACTAACGAACGAAGCTAACTCAATGAGCACTACGAGGAGAAGAGAAAAGAGTGAACACTTCCGTGCCCACACTTCCCCGTAACTTCCTCCCAGACTGAGGGCAAGAGAGCAGCTTTTAACAGCTGATCCATGATTGCCCATTACACACAGCTGAGCGGAAGACAGACGAGGCAAGAGCCACTGAGGCCATTTTGTGGCCGCAAAGGGGCAGAGCACGTAACAGGAACAGGTATTTAAGCTTGGCTATACCTCTGCGTCATAGTGATCTGTCCGCAGTCCGTCGCGAACGAAACGGCTCTCAGCCGGCTCGTTGATGTGACCGATAACAGCCGACTCCCTCTTGGAGGATCTGGCTCCCGTGACAGACTGTACCTGCAGGCCCTGGAGCCGTTAAAAATAGGCAAAATGCATGCATGGCGCGCATGCACATACACAGCTTGCAGCTGATTGCCTTGAGACCGGGATAGGAGGGTGGGGGGATGCTGCGCTCCTTCGATGTGCTGAAAGCAGGGAGGTGGGTGCCACAAAATGACTTGAAGGCACTTATTACATTAACTGATGGGAGCTGTAAATATAGGTGGGGCAGATTTGCAAAAAAGGAGAAAGGAACAAACAGCTCTACAGAAAGACGAGGAAATAAGTGAAAACAGGACATGCAGGTAGATTTGGACACATTTTAACTACAGTAACAAAAGTGTGTATGATTAAGGATAGGAAATGGAAGTTGTTTATTAACTAGGTCTATGCCCATGTGTAACATTTTGCAGGAGCGCTTCTGAAGTATTTTGAAGCAAAAGCAGCACAATCTGTTGAAGCAAGTAGCGGTGCTTCCTCAGTTGAAGACACTGCAAGTGAGTACTGAACTCCCAGATCATGATTTAACCATCTTTATTTTAGACTGTTGGTTAAAATACTGTGTTGGTCAAAAATTGTTATTTTAGTTTTAAATATGGTATAACTCATTTAACACAGTGAGATTTTCTTTTTTTTTACCACAGGTTCATCCTCTGTATGGCTGTCGGCTTTTGAGAGTGGAGAGCACCTGCCAGCAGCCAAGAGCCAGAAGAAGAACCTACCAACAGCTGGGAGCGAGAAGGGGCACTTACCAGCAGCTGACAGTGAGGAGCACCTACCAACAACAGCATCAACTAGTCTGGATTTTTCAACATCAACTGCTGTACCAGGTCAGTTCACAGGGCTTCTTCAGTATTTTCTGAAATTACTTCAATAAATGCTAAATAAATTGCAATTGTGATATTTACTGTAATCTTCACTCAGTGCTTGTCTGCTTCAGGAGTAGATGCTGCACCTTCCACAAATTCCAGTCATCAACATGGATTTGCATCTCCAGTTGACCCACCTGACTGGTCTCATATGTTGTCTGACTCAGAAAGGACTGATCTGGTAAGCAGAAGACCATTTTCTGTAAGGGAAAACTTTAGTTCCCAAAGAAGCCTGATGGCCGAAGCTTTCACTTTCACTACACATAAACAGTTGGTAAATGGGGAAAAAATGAAATGAAGTTGGCTCACCTACTCAAAAAGAAAGGATGCAGTCTACTGCTTCTCTTGTAAACTGTTCTCCAAAAAGTCAACAGAGGGACCGTGTGACTGGGTCAACATAGGTGCACTGCTTAAACAACATCACTCTTCAACTGCTGTTAAGGTGTATGTCTCTAAGTTTTGTGCATTTAGGTCTTCTATACTTGTTTAATATTTTGTTAATATTTTTTGTAAATAGATAATGTCAATGTCATTTTGTTTTGTTTTGTAATGATTGCACATTTCACATTTTACACGTTAAATTAATAACAAGATATTAAACCTAACTTTTTTTTACAGTAAAGTCGGTGTTTGCCTGCTTATGTTACTTCCAAATACTTAAGTTAGTAAGCCATATTCAACACTGCATTTCAAAACACAAACTAAATTGAATATTTTTGTCAGATTGCTCCATGTTTACTATTAAAATTAATAGTCATAAAAACACCTTTATGATATTAGCCAATTACAAATTTTGCTAATGATAGTGAGTATGTTATACACATTATATTGCCTATGAATGATCATTTGATTATTGAGCACCTGCACTATAGGGGCCCCCAAATTAAAATCTGCTCAGGGCTCCAAAGAGGCTTGGGCCGGCCCTGAAATCGACACACCTTCATGTCTGAAGTGAAAAGAACCTTGCTTAATATTAAAACTAGGGGACATAATGAACATTGTAAAGGAGCAGGAATGACACGTTTGGTGCTATGGGGGTTAGCATAACTGCATTCCAAGCATTAGCCTGACCCGTGTTGGGTTCCCAGCCTACGCAGGTGTTTTTGGTCCCAGAAAAGTTGTTTTCAGTGTGAGTGGATTTGACTATCAGATCATTCTAAACTATCATCAGCTGCCTTGTACTTTTGACAGAAAGAAGTAAAATAAGTATTCAATCAGAGCAGGTTGAAGTAAAGGATTTTTCATGTGGCCAAAACAGCGGTAATAAACAGGTCTCACCAGTGTAACCTTTAACTCTTAATGGAAGAAGAAAGAGTTTTCATAGAGCGCCTCTCAAGGTAAAAGCCACGAGACACTTCACTCAAAACAATAAAAACACAATTAACAAGAATCATAATAAAAAATGGGGAGAAAAGGAAAAACAGATTAAAATGGGAAGAAAAATGGTAATCATGGGATCCCAAAGAGAACGGACAAACAGCAGCATGAAGAGGAGGTCCCACCAAAGCCTGAACAGGTGTGTTTAAAGGAGACCACTGAGTCCACTGGTCTCAGGCGGAGAGAGGTCCAGAGTCTGGGGGCCACAGCAGGAGATGGTCTGTCACCTTTGACCTTTAGCCTGGTGCTGCACAACCAGTAGGCTTTGGTCACTGGACTTCAGGGACCTGCTGGTTCAGAGTCAGGTTCTACTTTTCTTGCATGCCACAGACAGAGACATAATTCCTCTGAAAGCATCTCTAAGAAACCCTGAAACAAACTCTGTGTCGTGGCTTTAGGCTCTGAGGTTTTAGGTTTCACTTCCTGCTTCGGTCCGATTCACAGAATTAAACCTTCTCTGACCCAAAAACATACAAACCTGCCTTACCGCAGCTGGAGAGCCCATAGAGCGTAGGGAGTTTTGTTGTGGAGAAAACTTAACAGAATGTGTGTGTGTGCGCGCGCGCGCCAGACTCTAGTCTGACTTGTTTGTGTCTTTTTGCAGGTCCTTAAAGAGTTCCGGTCCCTGACGAGACAGAATCTGACGGTCCCGGTTCCTGGGAGGATATACTGCATCTCCATACGGTTTACAAACATCAAGAACATCAAAGGGTCCATCTTCAGCCAACCAGTCTGTGTCTCCACACCTGCTTTGTTTCCTTTAGGTGTGTTTGGTGTAATAAAGCAGGTCCGATTTGAGCAGTACCTGTACTGTTGGGTCTCCAGATTATAGCAGAGATCACTGATTTTATTGACTGTTTGTCTCCTGGTTGTCCTCACAGATCAGCTCATCTCGGCTACACTCTGCTTGTTAGTGACCATGATGGTGGTGGTTTTGGTTCTGCTGCTCTGGACCGGTTCCATCTGTCTGAGACGGAGCCGAATGCCGACCATCCTGGTGAGTCACACGTCTGGATGTTTTACTTTGGATTGATTGGCTGATTCACGGAGAATCCCTCGGAGGGGTGGGGTCCTGGATAAATAAAGATTAAAGAAATACCGGCGTGTGTTCATGACAAGCTAGGTTTTCAGATGCTTCTGCCAGAACCAGAAATCTACATTGCCAGAGGAAACGAGATAGTGCTGGACACCAGTCACTGTTTTCTAGGTCCTAACATCTTTTGTTGCCTGTAACTTCAAACGGTGATTTTCTTTTTAGGACTGTGGTAGTTTGTCCTTAAGTTGAAGTGGTGTCAGCCGGCTGTTTCTCCTTCTCTGGTGTTATTAAACAGATAACCTCTCACACCAGTGGTGTTCTGCTGCTGAACACACGGGTGTGGAAGGACCCAGGGAAGTGCGGTGGTTCGGTGAGACCGACACCCGGATGGATGGTCCGATGGTTGGTTTTGGTCTAAAACCTGTTGTTGGTGGATGATTTTAGACAAAACCACTTTATTATATACAGTCCTTGGCATAAATGAGTACACCCCACTACATTAGTCAGAAAACCTGTAGTTTCCTTTCAGAACCAACATGTTCTACGAAACACCGAACCACTAAATACTCCCACAAATGCAGGCCATTGATTCTAAACAAGAGTTGTTCATTTTCACACACAAAAACATGATTTTCCTAACAAATCCATTAAATGAGTACACCCCAGTTCTAGTGTTGGGAGAAAAGCCACTTAAGACTACACAATTCAAACT